AGATAAAAATGGCTTGCAAGTCTCTTCTTTTACACGCTATTTTTTTGGTTCTTGCATTCTTCTAGATTCATCTCATCTTTTCAGGTGCTCCGATCTGAAATCTTTATGTTTTTTTAGCTAAGAAATTATGGGTTTCCTTTAATATTTCCATTTCCGTAAGATTTAAGTATTGTTTCTGTCCCGGATCTCGCGTTCCATGATGAACTCAGCTAATAAGTCGTATCCTATGTCTGTTATTATTGTTGCTTCCTTGTTGTTTCGACTTGTCTCGGCTGCTGACTACGTTCCAACTGAGAAAATCCTTTTAAATTGCGGTGCGAAATCTGAGGATTCCGATTCCGATGATCGGAAATGGACTCCGGATGATGGGTCCAAGTTCTTGGTCGGAAACGGGAATTCCGTTTCTGATGATCGGAAATGGACTCCGGATGATGGACTCCGGATGATGGGTCCAAGTTCTTGGTCCAAGTTTTTCGCTCTAACTTCACTTACAGTTTCCCGGTCGTACCTGGTCGGAAATTCGTTCGGTTGTATTTCTATGCTAATTCGTATGATGGGCGGAATGCATCCGGTGCTTTGTTTTCAGTCAGCTGTGGTACTTACACTCTTCTCAAGAATTTCAGCGCTGCTCAAACGAGTGAAGCTTTGAATTATGCTTTCATTGTTAAGGAGTATTCCATCAATGTGGATGATGACCATTTGAACTTGACATTCAGTCCCTTTTCGACTCCGTCGAATGCGTATGCGTTTGTCAATGGGATTGAAATCTTGTCGATGCCGGATATTTATAGTAATCTTGACGGAATAGCTGTTGTGGGCCAAAGTACTCCTTTCACCATCGATAACAGCACAGCACTCGAGAATGTCTACAGGTTGAATGTTGGCGGAAATGATATCTCGCCTTCCGGTGATACAGGTCTGTTTAGGTCTTGGTACGATGACCAACCATACCTGTTTGGAGCTGCTTATGGAGTGACTGGAGCTGCCGATCCAGATGTCACTATTGATTATGGAACCACGCCTACTTATATTGCACCAACGAATGTGTACACCACTGCTAGATCCATGGGGCAGGATGCTGCAATAAACAATAATTACAATTTGACCTGGATGTTCAGTGTTGACTCTGGCTTCTCGTACTTGGTTAGGTTACATTTCTGTGAGTTTACGGAGAACATCACTAAGATTAATCAGAGAGTGTTCAACGTGTTCCTAAACAATCAAACAGCTGAGGCTGGGTTTGATGTGATTGCCATGGCAAACGGACAAGTTCGTGTTCCTCTGTATATGGATTATGTTGTTGTTGTTCCTGGAGGAAATTCACAGCAGGATCTTTGGCTTGCATTGCATCCAAACACGACTGACAAACCCCAGTACTATGATGCAATCCTAAATGGTGCAGAGATATTCAAGATAAGTGATCCGAATAGCAACCTCGCAGGGCCTAATCCGATCCCTGGTCCAAAACAGGATGTAGTTGATCCATCACGGGCTTTGCCATCTCATCGAGGTCACTCAAACCAGAAGGCAATCATCGCTGGGGGAGTAAGTGGTGGAGTGGTTCTGGTTCTCATTATTGGTTTCTGCGTTGCTGCTGTTTCGCATCGTCGTAGGCATGGAAAGGATCATAGCTCAAGTGATGGTCCATCAGGATGGCTTCCTCTTTCATTGTACGGAAATTCGCACTCTGCAGGTTCAGCAAAGACAAATACCACAGGGAGCTACGTTTCCTCCCTCCCTTCAAACCTTTGCCGTCATTTCTCATTTGCCGACATCAAGGCTGCTACTAACAATTTCGATGATTCTTTAGTTCTTGGGGTGGGAGGTTTTGGCAAAGTTTATAAGGGAGAAATTGATGGCGGGACCACTAAAGTTGCAATCAAGCGTGGCAACCCACTATCCGAGCAGGGTGTGCATGAGTTCCAGACTGAGATTGAAATGCTTTCCAAACTCCGCCACCGCCACCTTGTTTCGTTGATTGGTTACTGTGAAGAGAACTGTGAAATGATCCTAGTTTATGATTATATGGCTTATGGAACATTGCGTGAACATCTCTACAAAACCCAGAAGCCGCCTCTTCCATGGAAGCAAAGGCTTGAAATATGCATCGGTGCTGCTCGTGGTTTACACTATCTTCACACCGGCGCTAAGCACACTATCATTCACCGGGATGTGAAGACAACCAACATTCTTCTGGATGAGAAGTGGGTAGCAAAAGTCTCTGATTTTGGATTGTCGAAAACCGGCCCCACATTAGATAATACTCATGTGAGTACCATTGTGAAGGGTAGCTTTGGCTATCTGGACCCCGAGTATTTCAGACGGCAGCAGCTAACCGATAAATCTGATGTTTACTCATTTGGGGTTGTCCTCTTTGAGATCCTTTGTGCACGTCCAGCATTGAATCCTACACTTCCGAAGGAGCAAGTGAGCCTTGCAGAGTGGGCTGCACACTGTTTCAAGAAAGGCATCCTTGATCAGATAATGGATCCGTATCTGAAAGGGAAGATAGCACCAGAATGCTTCAAAAAGTTTTCCGAGACTGCAATGAAGTGCGTGGCTGATCAGGGAATCGACAGGCCATCCATGGGTGATGTGCTTTGGAACCTGGAGTTTGCTTTGCAACTGCAGGAGAGTGCCGAAGAGAGCGGCAAGGGAATTGGTGAAATCGGCATCGTGGATGGCACCTATGACGAAACCTGCAAAGTCAAGAAAGATCCCAACGCATCCCCTGGTTTTGATATCAATGTGACGGATTCGAGGAGCAGCGGCATGAGCATGAGCATCGGCGGTGGCAGCCTAGCTAGTGAAGACTCTGATGGGTTGACACCAAGTGCAGTTTTCTCACAGATCATGAACCCGAAAGGGCGTTGAGATGAGCCGAGCCGATGCACCCGCCTGCTGTTGTAAGTTACATGGACCATGGAATCAAAATTCGGCTTTCATTGTTGTATTCATTTACTTAATAATAATTTACATAGGTAGATTTATTTACATCTTAAACTGGATATTGTTTTGATCAAACAAGCAAGCCAGCTGTAGGTCTGAAGAGTGTAAAATAATGGGTTGAAGTGACATTTGCATTTCATGAGAGATATGTGTGTTTATTATGGCCTTGGGTGAAAGGAAAATGATGTTTAATTGTGGAACAGAGAGATTTCCTGAAATGTTTTACTTTTATTATAATTCTGAAATTGCACAGAATGAATCAGCTGTCAGAAGTAGGGATGAGCATGGGAATAGATTGCTTAATTAAATTAAGAAATTACTCTTACTAGATTAGATTACACTTGTGGTCTGTTTTTAAAGGGTAAACTACCTAAATGGTCACTCATGTTTGAGTATATTTGTGTTTTCCCTACTAAAACTTTAAAACTAACGAAATGGTCACTGACGTTATTACTTCTATGAAGGAATTACTAGATTTTAGGGATGCGTCATTTTCTTGATTTTTCTCATTTATTGTCATTTTTTTCCATCCTCAATAGTAGGGTTGTAAACGAGAAGAGTAAACCTCGATATTGTTGAGCTCGACTCCAGAACTATAAAATCAAGCTTGATTCGGTTCGAAAATTCGTGAGTCTAAAATTTTCAATCTCGACTCAAACTCAAAATTATGAATTGAAGCTCAAAATAAAAAAAATCTTAGATTTAACTCGGTTAAAGTTTAAACTTGAACCTGAATCTTAAGTACATGAAAATATTGTATTATAATTTTAAAAAATAACACATAAATATTAATATTATTAATAATATATATTTTTTTTAAAATAAAATTTTAATATATTATTTTTTAGAAAAAAAAAGAATATCAATATGGTTTAACATTGATTGAAATAGAGGCATGGTTTAACAAAATATGGTTTAACAAATGAACCTGTCTTCTCTGAGTTTTCTACATGAAGGCCAAAATTGATGACGGATCTGGTGTATAGAGTGGATATCTACCTATTTTGAAATTAAATTTTTTTATGTTAATTATTTTTTTATTAACGGTGTTTATCATAAAATATTATTTGTGTATACCTCATACAAAAAGATTCATATTATTAATATATATATATATTCATCCTACAAAAATATTTTTAAATCTATCACTAACCAAAATAGTAAACAGCGGTTCCAGAAACATGGTCTCTAGTTGCTAGAAATAATATAAAATGTTGTAATAATTCTCTAATTAAAATAATTGGTCTAATGGTTAAAGCTCGTTCGATCCTTTTTCTAAGTCTCTACGTCGAATCCCCATTTGGTTAATTTTATTTATTTATTTTACATTCATTAGAGTAAAATATATAAAATATGTTAAGAGGTTATTAAGAAGCACGTGGTCAGCCCCAATGTTAGAGCCACGTCTACATTTCCTATTAGGTCTTACGTTCAATGTGAAGTTAATTTTAATTTGTTTTTACTCAGTTAGTAGAGCACAAGGTTTTTAATTTTGAGGTCGTGGGATCGAGTGCTACGGAGGGCATTTTATAATTCGGAGGTCTCCCATGAAAGCTGCTCTCAACCTGATGTTGGGGGCAACCTACTATCTTACCTCCCCTTATCTCATATATATGAGAAAAAAGGAACAACCATTTCGGATTTGAAGCGAAATTTTATTAAATTAAAATTTATAAAATCATCTCTAATCCGATGGTAAATATATCTGATTTGATAATTAAATTTATTAAATTAAATTAAAATTAAAATTAGATTGATTGATTGATTGAATTTATAAATAATAAAGATTAAATATATAAATATATTCATTTTTTTTAATTGTCACATCAATTATTCCATCAAATGTTGATGGTAATTGACTTAATTACAATGTTTAAATAGTTGAGTAGTTTAATTGATAAAATTAAAAGATTTATTATCAAAATGATAAATATAATAGTTAAATGGTTATGTGAGTAGTTTACCCTATAATTTAGGACAAATGGTTCATTAACTTTTAATAAAATAATAAATAATCCCAACCGAAGACGAAGACAAGAAGTAAATATGGGAAACGATATGAAAAGCCCTAAGGGGTGAAGACAAAAAACAATTTAATCAAAGCTTTCTATTGCAATTCCATAATCCTTTGATACATAAAAAAAACATGATCGTATCAAATTTCTAATCATTTTCTTTTAATTTGTATTGAATTTAAGTTTGATTATTCGTTGGATCGAAAATGGAGGACGATAAGAAGAAGAAGAAGAGAAACAAGAAGAATAAAAACAAACAGATTAAATCCGCAGAAGAAGATTTAGATCGCAACAATAACAATAATGTCAGTAATTCCCAGAATATACACATTACCGAGCTGGATCTGGAACCGGACACGCATCGCCGTAATAGCGCTATACCCGTAAGTTAATTCAACTTTTTTTCTTTTTCTTCTTTGGTAGTTGATTGTTCGCAATTCGTTTTCTCGTTGTTTCCAAATGAAGAAGAACAAAAGTTGATAATTAGATTCGTTTGTGTAATATTGTTTGTTGACATAAATTCATCTTTTTTTTCTGGCTTATTGTTATACATTCAAATTTGTATGATTCGAATTTTCTATATATCTAATTCTCAATCATAAATTACGGACCGCCATTGATGATGATGATGATATAATATGTTGATTAATTTCTATGAATTTTTGTTAGAAATAGCAATATCTTGTGACATTAGTAATGCAAATGCATGGTTGGTTGCCATCACATAAGCGTTATATATATATATATATAAACAGAGCTTTACCTTGAAAATTTATAGTGTTTTAGATTCTTGAGGAGTTGTTTTCTGATATATAGAATGTCTAATCGGAAACTAATGCTATATGATTATTGAAAATTTGTGGTTGCCTTTTTTTCCCCCACTGTTTTGATGCATTAATTATATCGCTTTCTTCTTGAAGAGTTCTGCGGAAGATATGATTAAAAAATTACAAAAAGAGACAGAATCACATATAGAGAAAGAGGTAATAGTGATTCATCTATTTGTTATAATAGTCAACTTTTTGTTTATCTACATGCTTCATTTATTTATTTGCCACTTGTGTGATTGATATCACTAAACTCGGCTTAAGTTGTCATATATCTGCAGGCTACTTTGCAAGAGACGATCCAACACTTACAAAAGGAAAATGAATCATATATACAGATGCAGGTTAAATTGATGTTATCATGGGAGGAAATAAGAAAATTTATTTTTCCTTCTCTCATTCAAGTTTATTTTGAAATTCCTGTCGTTTGTTTTGTATTTAATTTTTAGCTTAAATGTGATGCAGGTTACACTAGAAGAGACAATCTACCAATTAAGAAATGAGTGTGATTCACACCTAAAGAAAGAGGTAATATGTTACAGACCTTATCAACTGAAAAGTGTTCCCTGAAGCAGCATTCGGTTTGGTGAAGCACTGGTGACTCACTTTCTTTTTATAGGCTTCCTTAGAAGAGAGTATCCTGAAATTACAACTGATAAACAATTCACACCTACAAAAAGAGGTAATGCAGGATATATGTGAGCTTTTGCATACGTTAAGGATGGCTTACCTTTTTCTATCCGCATGTCATAAAAAAGTTTCTGTTGCAGTTTAAACTTCTCTCTTGTTGAAGCACAAAGTAACCCCCATCTTCTTGCAGGCTTCTTTAAAGGAGACAGTCCTACAGTTGCAATCTGCAAATGAATCACACATACAAAAAATGGTAGCCTGCTAAAGTCTTCTTCCTTTTTTTATGTTTGGTACAGCATACTAAATTCATTATCTGTTCTCATGCACAAAAAATTGTAGTTATAGAGGGCTAATCTTTCCCTGAATTTTATATAAATGTTCTTATTTCCTTTTCTCTTGGAAACTGCTATATCTAACAAGATAATTTACAGGCTGCTTCAGAGATGGATATCATCAGATTACATAATGAAACAGAGTTGTGGCTTCAAGAAAAGGTAATATAGGTTGATATATTATTATATAAGGACATCATTCCACATATTGCTTCCCTGTATTCACCCCTATGATTTGATAACAAAAAGACTTCTAATTGAACTGCTGTCTGTCTCTTTGTAGCTTTTGCGTCATCATTTGAGGTATTTTAGAAAATTTTGTGATGAATTTGGTATATGTCGTGCAACATGCAGGCCGTATTGGAAGCGGAAATCAGTCAGTTGCTGGAGGAAAAAGCTGCTCTGGATCTGAAAGGGGTAAATTTTCTTTTTGTCTTCACATTAGTTTTCTGCTTTCTTCATTTTTTTTCTGTGTTTTCAGGTTTAAATCATTTCTGGGTATATGTAGTGTTTTCACCCTAATTCCGTAGTGTGCAGGCGAACTTGGAGGAAAATATTAAAGCACTAGAGAAAGAGAAGGATTCTTGGATTCTGACAGAGGTAGCCAATTTTGCTCTTATCATATGTGTCAATTATGCATTTTATTGGAAGATAGTGATCTGTTGAAAGTGAAAACCTGAAATCTAGTTGGATTCTATACATGTGTTAAGGCCCTTTATGTGATCTGCATCTGGAGTGTGGATCTTTCTCATGGTTTGTTTATTTGTAATAAAAGTATTTCTGTTATCATCTTATATAATCTGCATCTGAATCATTAATACATATCATTAACAATTAGTTGTATTGTTCTGATTTTATATATTATTTTTTTACAGAATTCCACAAAAGAAACAATTTCTATCCTTAATCGCGATATCACAAGACTAACGATGCAGGTACAACATTTTCACCCGTGTACTTCAAACTTAAAGGCTTCTTTTGCTAGCAGGATATTGGACTCTGATGTGATTTCGTCCCAAAAGTTGATTCTCAATTGTTAGTATCATCAACTTTGGGCTGCCCAAAAAGTTCAACCATTTTTGCGTTGCACTCCTTTTGTTCTGATGTGGAAATTAAAACGAAGCTTGGCAGGTGCTTGAGTTGGAAGAATCCAGAAGCAAGCTTTTGCAAGAAAATCAGCAGCAAACAAATACTGCATCTAGTTTGCAGTTGCATATTCAAAACTGTGAGAGGAACATCACCTCTAGCTCCTCATCAGATGAAGTTAAAAAGGTTCGCTTCCATTCATTTTCAGCTCCCCTTTTCTCTAGTGTGTTGGCTATTCACTTTCTAGTTTCATGATACACTGAGGATTCATGAGATATATTTGGATTTGTCTCCATGTTTGTTTGCTACCTGCTAATGGTTTGTTTGAATTTTAGTGCGTAAAAGTTATTCATGAACATTCAAGCAAATGAGCTACTAAATATTAATGTCTCTAAAGAAATTTAGGAAAAGAGGAACAATGTAGTTGACTACTTTTCTCTAATGTAGCAAGCTTCTTATATCGAGGACCTGAACTCTCAAATTGAAGCAGCAAGTGTTCTTGTTGAGAAATTGGTCATGGAGAATACAGAGCTTGTTGAGAAGGTGCCTTTTGTGCCACAACACATTATGATTTATTCTTTATCTTCTTGTTCTTTGTAAGCCGACATACAAACGGACCTTTTGATGTTGTGAATGTACCCCAACTCTTTGGCAGGTGAATGAGTTATCTGTTATTCTTGAGCGACAAACAGAAGGACATTCAACGGTCATTGAAATGCCCAATCCTGGACCTCACTTCGTTGGCAATGGCTCTATATCATCTCCAAAGTTGTATTCTCTAGAAGTTGCTCAAATTAACGAGGGCAAAATTGATGGTGTGAGTGCAGACGGGCAACCTACTGCCCAACTTCCACTCGCTGTAGAGTCCGAGGATTCGGGAGAAATTTTGCAAATTCCCCTGGATGATACTGATGCAAGGGGTCCCGAACCCCAGTATATTGAGAGTGAAAATAAGACTGTACCATTGACAGATGCTCCCCTGATTGGTGCTCCGTTCCGGTTAATATCATTTGTTGCTAACTATGTTACTGGTGCGGACATGGTTAACAATACTTCAAGCTCGGAATCTTAGCTTAGATGCAGGATTCTTATACCATTATTCAGTACTTAACATACGTGGTATACTTTTGAAGTAGAGATTCCCATTGTCGACGTTGTTTTTACGCAGGAAAAACGTATCTGGCGAGAGGATAACACCATTTGCAATAATCTGAAATGTAACAAAAACATGCTGGATGGCTGTAATTTGTGACAATTAATAGTTCTCATTGTATTCGATACAGAAGAAATGCTTTTGTTCATCTATTTTTCTTAACACTTTATACAGATTAGAGCCTTCTTTTTTGCTTCAACAGAAAAATACAGTATCGTTATATGGTTGACAGAAACTTTTTTAGGTTAAACTGTGGTCGATACAAGTATTTTATATTTTCATATTAAATCTAATATTTTTTATTATTTTGGCTTAATGTAAAGATAGGTACTCAAAATATACCTATCGTTAGCTTTAGGTGCCTAAAGTATTTTTTTGTTAAAAATATGTACTTATCGTTTTCTATGTTACACTTTTAACTGCCTAACATTTTCGACGTTATATTTTTAGGTGTTAGACTGTAACGGTTTTTAAAACATAAAATCTTATTTAAAAAAACCACTTAAAATTAAAATTTATTTTTAAAAATCTCAATATTTTCTGAAATTATATTTAAAAAAACTCAAAATCCCGAAAAATCATAATTTCAATCACTTACCACCACCGGTCGCTACCAATCGGCCGGAAATCCGATGGCGTGCAACTACCCGAACCCCCACTGGCTAAACCCCCATGCTTCACACGGTGGTGCAACGGAAAATCGACGATCGCAGAGGGGAAAACTCCTTTAAGCCGATCGCAAAATCTTGTATTTAAACGGTCGTTGGGTGTTCGGTCGGTCGCGAAAATAAGAGGTTTCAGCCGTTGGGTGGTCTCCCGATCGAACAACACTGAGTGTTCGATCGATAGACGACGTTGGTGGTGGTTAACGATGCTAAGGGATCAAAATTAGGGTTTTAAGAGATTTTTTTTTGGTTTTGGTAATTTTATAATTTTAGATTTTTAAAATAATTTTTAATTTTAATTTTTTTAATTTAAATAAAAAAATTAAAATTTTATTAACATGACATGTGTCACTTAACGGTAGAATTTGACGGTCGTTACAATCTTGGCACCTAAAAGTGTAACGTTGAAAATGTTAGACGTTTATTTTTAACGAAAAATTCTTAAAGCACTTAAATTAGTTTTGAATATATTTTGGACACTTATTTTTACATTAAGTCTATTATTTTATATGCATACAAACATATTTCTAAACATATAATGGAATTATATGTTATTAAAAAACTTAATATTAACCAACAATTAATTTAGTCTAGTGGGATCAGGTACTAGATTCCTTAAGTAAAGTCAGGAGTTTGAATCATGACATTTGTGAATAAAGCAAACTAGATTGGAAGGGTCACCATTGCCTCAACAGTACCTGATTTGGATTAGTCGCTCAATAGATCGGATATCAATGATTAATTAAAAAACTACAAATTAAATTATATATATATAACTCAACTCAATTCACTCATCATTATTAATACGTACCATTATTATTAATGAAATAATATGGTCATCGATATGGTATTACAAAACTTAATATTTATAATGATTTTTAAAATATTTTAGATTTTATATAAAATTTATATATTACTAATACAAAATGTTAGGATCAACCTACTATAATTCTGTTTTATATTTATTTTCTTATTTTTCATGAATATGATAATGTCAGGGTTAAATTTATTAAATTATTTAAATTAAAATAGGAATAAGTGAATATATTTTTAAATACTAAGAATTTATTAAATTGTTTTAAATTAGGATTAAAATAATAGAATATATAAGTTTTGGAGACTAAAATTGTATTATAACAAATCATATCATTATCTCCGTTATTTTTTTAACGATCGGTTTCTAAATAAAAAATATATAGTAGTGACGATTTTGTCAAAAAAGAGTTTGACAACTAAAGTAAAAAATAGTAATAACTTGATCACCAATAGGATAGTTTACCCTAAACAGATAAATGATTGAATATATATAATTTGTAACCTCTTAGACTCGACCGAAACATTACGGAGATAAAAGTTTTAAAGTAAATTAGATATAAAATTATTGTTTAATAACTTATTTAATGTTTTGATAAAAGTTTAAGGGTCAAACTAGATATTAACCTTTTTGTTAACATTATCATGTCATCGATTTAACAGAGATAACGGTAGAGTGACTATATTGTTATAATTACTTTTGAAACGTCAGTGGGAAAAACGAAAACTTACTCAAAGATTAGTGACTGTTTGTATAATTTATCCTATATGTAATAATACAAAAAAAAACTATACAAATACCCTGTAAATAATTTGTTAGTCATGTCAGATATATCTGAAGTAAAATGTAAATGCAAAATTAGTAGTACATTTTCATGTCACCAAAATAAACATATGACATAGAGAAGTATAAAAGCACGAACGATTAATTCTCCAAAATGTCAAGTCCAATGCTTGTAGTCCAATAATATCTGGAAAAAAATTACGAGATCAAGTTAGAAAGCTTAGTGTGCTTCTAAAAATGCATAAAAACATAGTTATCAATTTAGTCACTTGCAATTTCCATAAATTAGCTGATCCTATTCTCATATGTAATGGGGTAAGAGGGAGGTAGGGTAGTAGGCTGTCCCAACGCCAGGTTGAGAGCAACTTCCGTGGAAGACATCCGTTATGAATTGCCCTCAGTGGGACTCGATCCCACGACCACAAGGTTAAGAGCCTTGCAACTTCCATAGTTTTACATAATAGTTTCTAAATTTCTGAAAGTTATGATTTGGTCCCCAACTACACTAAATAAAAAAATTAACCCCAAAATGGGGATGTGACGTAACTTTTTTTTTTTGAGGAACATTATATAATTGTTAAATTATGCCTTTGAGACATTGGGTTAGGGGATCTAACGTTTAAGGCCTATCACTAACAGTACACTTAATATGTATCCTAGGTTTAGGTTTAACACTTACAATGACAGAGACAAATCTTGTTTCCAAAAGATGCTGTCAAACGAATAAGCAAACGCCATTTGGCATTAAAATAAAATATTTAGAGCTTGTATTATTATTATTATTCCATTCCCACCTCACCTGCTTCATGTTAGCTTTAATCATTTGTTTTCTTCCTAACCTTTGTTTGGCTGGCTGACAGGCACGACCATAGCCACATTTTCAAACATCTGATTTGGTCCTAGGCAACACACAATGGATCATGTAACTTGGTTGGCTTTGGCTACATAACTCTCGTACGGAAATATAACTAGGAGGGCTATAAACGAGTGAAGTCGAGTCATTTATCGTCGAGTTCGACTCAACTCAAAAAGTTTAAGGTTGAGTTCAACTAGACTCGAAAGCTCGCGAGTTTAAAATTGTCAAGTTTAACTTTAATTCGAAATCAAAAATTGAAACTCGACTTGAGTTCAAAAAAAACTTGAACTCGAAACATTCTCAGACTTAGTTGGATTGAAGCTCAAACTCGAGCTCGATTCAAACTCAAAAACTCAAGCTCGAACCGTAAGTATATGAAAATCTTATATTATATATATATATAATTATTTATTTTTTAAAAATTAAAATTTAATATATTATTTTTTTCGTACTGCTCGTGAGCTTTTCGAGTTTGATATCAAGTAGCTTGTTTCGGCTTGTTAAGAACTTTAGTCAAGACCATTCGATTTGAGTATTGACCAAACTTTAATCGAATAAAACTCAAATAACTCACAATCTATCTAGTCTCATTTACGGCCCTCCTCGATACATTTAAAGAAATTCAATTTTTTTAATATAATTGTATTCGACACTCGTATTCGAGTTATCCGGTGTTGATTTCAAAGCGGCTTTAATTGCCAGGATGCCAAGAGAAAACATGGAATTGAGCACCAACAAAATGCTAAGAATCAGTTATCACTTTACAGGCAAAAACGGATGAACAATACAAGACCAATTAAAGATTATATTATCTTGTTTTGCAAAAAAAAAATGTTCTGCTTTCTTCACTCCTCATTTTCAATGGTAAAGGCCGTCTTATCACATTCTTGCGAAGTAACCAAATAATTAGATGTTATAATAGCCCGAACGGTTCAGGCAGTGACTCAAATCCATTATCGAAGATGGATCCTTGATCTGATTTATCGTCGATACTATGCAACCAATTAATATTCTTCAAGTCCTCTTTTAGCAACATTGCATCATAACGGGAGCTCTCATAGATGTCCACCTCGCTTAATTTGGTTGAGTATCGTACATCATGGGCGTCACTTCCGTTCTCTGCGGCACTAAGAATGCTATTTCCGTTCTCAGAGTATTCTCCATTTCTCAAGCTACTGGCGCTTCCGTTGCTATTGAAAGAGTCGGAACGAAGTAATTGGGTTTTGGCAGGTGCAGATCGGATACTCTGAGGGAAAAGAGTTGTGCCTGAAAGGGAACGGATGTTTACTGAACCGTTTCTTATGTCCTACATCAGTGATCATAAATAGCGTTAGGATTATTCTGCATATAGATGACGCGGTCTCTTTATACAGCTGAGCATCTACGGAAAGAAAGATCAAAACAAATTCCAACCACTAAACATGACATTGCCTCTTATTTATAAATCCAAGCTAATACTTCAGACCCTGAAATTTTCTGCTACAACTATTGGATCATGGTGATGTTCTATTTATGATGCTAATGTAGACTAAAAACATCAGAGTTGAGGTTGAGATTGTAATTTACAATTTTGGTCTACTTAAATGACAATATTCCCACCCCTTAGCTGCATTTGAATTACTCAGCACATGATCAAGAAAAAGAAAAGGTTTGCTTAAAACACAGCACATGGCTAACATTTGCAACAAGCAGTGCTTCACTTGGGAGTTAACAATTAATGAATAAAAAAGTAGAGGGTAAGCATACCATGTGCCTGATAGCCGTATCCAGTGATTTTTTTGAGATATTCCTTCCAAATCCTGTGCCATCTGCAGTGGTTGTTGAAGACTTTACCGGTTTCCGCATAGCTAAATCTGAGACATGTGAGATCCTCCGTGATTCATGTATGCTAGATGAATGCCCGTTGGAATGGACTCGAGCCCTTCCAGGAGGATCAGTTAGTCTTCCTCTAGCGGCAATTGGCGACGAATGTCGTCTTGGCATATTTATAGAGCTACAAGTATCTTGGTTTGCCTTCACGGTGGCAGAAGCACCAGACCTAGACCTACCAGCAGAGATAGGCCTCTCGGGCAAAGTTGTTCTAAGGTTTGGTGGTGAGTCAAGCGGAAAATCTGGGGGTACAACTGGCTGTTGTGGCGGCCGGACTCGTGGACCCGGGGAGCTTGGTCGAGATGATGGAGCTGAAGTGCGACCATTTGAAACAATGCGCCCAGTAGAAAGTGAAGGACTAGCTGGTGAAGATAGAGACGATGCCGGATTCCGACGTGTGGGAGTCAATGGGCGAGAATTTGAACGAACAGATGTTGAGTTCAAGTTTGCAGGGATTTGGGGGCTAGAAATTAGAGTTGTTGGCCGTAAACTTTGTGACGGTCTACTCCTTTCAATGTAAGAGCTGGTGGGAGATGGACGAACTTTTGAAGGAGTTGAGGGCCGTGATGGTGTTGAGCGTGCAGATGGGGTTGAAGGTCTTGCCGCAGATGATGAGCGGGTAATATGAGAGGATGGTCTAGTATAAGATGACAAAGAAGCCGAGCTTGTACTGAGAATTGAACTACCCGTGTTTGAAGAATAGTTACTGTATGAAGACGAGAGAGATGGTCGAGTTACTGAACTGCTTCTTGCTGGTCTTGAGGCATGATTGCTTTCAGAATGAGAAATCGAAAGCTGAAACAGGGATAACAGAAAAATTAGTCATTAATGGCTGCAAACTTCTACTAGACAACAATCAATGCCAATAAAAAGAGAGAGCAACCACATACACGGAGAAATCAATCACTAACTTTGACAGAAAAAGCAGTAACATAAAAGTAAAGGGCAAAAGAAGTCTAAAAATTTGAAGGAAATGCAAACCCTTGAAGCCTTCGTGGTTGAAACTGATCTAACTTTTGGATTGCTTCTTGGAGCAAGTGAAGTTGACTGAGATTCTGACCCTTCAGATGAAGGAAAAAGTGGAGTTCCGGGAGGAGTTAGAAGCCTAATGACACAAAGTAGTTAATATTATAAACTGAGAGAACCAAGGATTTACAAACTAGGTTTAAATTTGAGACTCAATTAAGTGAGCAAAGCAATACATTACCCAAAAAAGAGTTGTCAATACAGCTATTTGATCAGCAAAACAATCAAACTTTAACTCTCAAAGCTTAAAGGCCAAAAGATTCACCCAGATTTCTGTTTTCTTGGTAAGTCAAGCTATTATTATCTATACAATTTAAACTTGGAATTAACCAAAGACAACATGAAATGCATAAAACTCAATGTGAAAGGTAAAGATTCATTTGCAAAGCAGAGAATCCCCACACCGGTGTCCAATGCAGATCCGGATATGGGTATGGGATACAACACTTTAAAGATTTTTCATATAGATGAGAGAAAATAGAAAAAAAAAGATTGAATACATCCATAACAGATACATGGAAACCAAACAGATCCGAAAGGAAAACGATCCAAATGAATAGTTTAAATTAGGAAATTCGAGAGATTGGATCTAGAAGTCTATTGTAGTAATAATAGCAGTGACAAGTGAGTTACCAGTCATAATCATGCTTTCCTTCCTCTGTAGAAGAAAGTAGATCATCGATTCCAGCCTTCACCTTTGCTGATCCATTTGATACTCTTCCCAGTTTCATCGATACTACAAAACCAAAATCCACAACTTCAATTTAAACGCTTAGAGTTGTTCATTTCAGTTATTGCGTAAACGACATCGTTTCTCCTTTTCAGGCTATATTCCAATTCAAAAAATCATCAATCATTTTCTAATTTATGTTAAAAGAAAAATCCAAATAGAATGGAGAAGAAGGTTAGCTAACTTTGGAACCGACAAATTAATCTGATAATAATAAAATCAAGTACCGTAGAATGATTCATCGGAGGAGGCGACGGAGAGGCTGCGGCGGCTCTTTGAGAAAAGATCCAAATTCTCGTCCGAATCCCTGGGGAATAATCCAGCGTTCAAACTTCTACCAACGCGGTGATGATGGGAGGCCGCCGCCGCCGACATGTTCTTATTATTCAAATTAATGCAACTCTTCCCTTCTCCGTTCACCAGCGATTCCCTTAGATTCCTATTCATCATAATGGTCGTTGGTATTAAAGAATATGGGCTGCTGCAACTCCTATGCTATGCCTTCTGCTCCCTGCCCCATTGCCATTTCTTTCTTTCATGCTACTGCAATGGTAGTGGTGCCATTGCCAAAGTCCAAATGCAAAATGCAAAGACGGATAAAAGAAACTTAATTTTTATAATATGAATATGATTATTATTTGCTATAATTGAAATGAGAGGGGAAGTGGTGTTCATTCAGATCTCTTACACGCACTGCTAAGTGGCTTCAGCTTCTTAGCTATAACTCAGATCTGTGCTTTTATCCAAGGAGGCACCTAAACTATCACTTTTGTTCCGTTTTAGTACTTAACATATACTTTTTGTTTCATTTTAGTACACCGGCGTTAAAATTTTAAGTATTAGAATGAAACAAAAATTAACGATGGTGTACTAAAATGAAACAAAAAGTTAACGACGGGTACTAAAATGAAATAAAAAGTTAACGACGGGTACTAAAATGAAATAAAAAGTTAATATTAAGTATATTTAAAAATAATTAAAAGTTTAGATACTAAAATGAAATAAAAGTAATAGTTTAGACACTAAACATATATTTTACCCTTTTTAGTTAGTACTTTTGTTCTAATAATTATTCAATGATGGTAATGTTTTATTATTATTATTATTAAGTCTTAACTAAGAATAATCGCTTTTAAGTTATTTTATTACTTAAATTAATCTTTTACAATAAACTGTTATGATTCATTTAGTTTTTGAAAATATTTTTGATTTTTATTGTTAGAAAATAATTTTCTTGTTTAGTTCTCCAAAAATAAAAAAATATGTTTAGTTAATATAAATGAAAACTTTAATTTTTAAAATAAAAATAGTGAAAATATATTTGGTATCTAAACAAATAGCTATTAAATAATTAAATTTAAATATAATTATTAAAAAATTAATTACACAAGTTTAACATGTGAGTTATATAATTATAAAACAATAAAGTTGATAAGAAATTTCATAACACAAAAATTATTTTAATTTATAATAAGAATATAATGTTAATGCATATTTGACATCAAATAAATTTAAAAAATACATACAAAAAATTTTGTAAGTAAATACAGACAAAAGTAACAGTAAAATAAAAATATGATTAGTGGTTTTTGATGTCCTCGAATTTTTGTAACAAAAAAAAAAATAGTGTAGTCCTTGAAGTTCTTTTATATTCAATGTGATCTTTAAATTGAGAAAAAATTAACTTAATCCTCTAACAAACGAAATCAAATGTTGACAGTCATGAACTTACATGACAGTTCACGAACCTTAGATACCAATCTATCATATTATTGTTCCAAGAAAAAATATAAAATTAACTTAATCGAGGGACTGTTTATGTACTTTATCCAAAAAGATAATGGGAAGATACACTAATTAACACATCTAATGCTCTGTTGTTGTTCCAAGAAAAAAAAAACATAAAATTAAATGGCAAAACTTTAGTGTGTGACTGCGTGTTAATTAATTAAGCAATTAATAAATGTTCAGACTTCAAGTTTCCTAAAAATTAAGAAATCTATTCTATAATTAATGTTCTTTTTAAATTAAATTTGGAGTAAATCACTCTATCTCTACCATTGCAACAATGCAACTTCTAATTGTTTATTTCATTTGTTAATTATAGTTATCTTTAATTTCTCATTCCCTTTAGTCATAATTTTCAAGTTTTAACTACTTAATGAAAACAAGAAGAAGATGAAAAATATCGTTATACTATTCTTAGGGATGGGCATCCGACCCGAACCCGATGGGTTCTGACCCGACCCGATTGAGTCGGTTTTTCAAATTCGGGTTTGGATCGGTTTTTTTAAAGGTAATGTTCGGGTCGGGTCGGATTTGGGTTTAGGCTGAAAATACTCGACCCGAAAAGAAATATAATTTTACCTTCTATATTTAGAAATAATTACAATAATATCCTTCTATATATTAATTTTTAAAATTAAATTACTGTTTTTACTGAATAAAAATAATATTTTTATTATTTCGGGTCAGGTCGAATCGAGTTCAGATTTTATCTCGAAAAGTCGGGTTAGATTCGAGTCTAGTGGAGGCTATATATTTTTCGGGTCGGATTGGCCGAAACTCACCCCATGCCCATCTCTAACTATTCCTTTTTGAATTAAATTAAATTAAATTAGAGTTGCGAATTTTTTACTCCAATATCCACATATGTAGAGCTGGGTATACGGGCTACCCGCCCGTTTAGCCCGCGGGTTTTGATGATGCGGGTTTAAACAGAGCGGTTTAAAAAGCCCGCAATCATAAACGATTTTGATTTCTAAGGCTCGCGGCCCGTCCATTTAACCCGCGGGCTTACCCGCAGCCCGTTAAATAACAACAATTTTAAATGCTTTAAATGTAATAAAAAAATAATGTTTTAACTTGCTACACCTTTAAAAATGATCTAGCAACTTGAAAAGGAAGCACCGTCAAAATAATAAATAATATTTAAATTTTATTTTAAATAGCCGAAAATGATTATAAAATAATATTTATTTTAATTTTTTAATCATTAATATATTTATATATAATGATATAATTACTTAAAATCAAATTAAAAAAAACAATATTCACTTATATCACCAAATTGAAAAACAAATAAAACAATAAAACACATTATACTTTTATAAAACACAATTATTCAAGGCTATAATACGAACACTTTTCTTTCTTATTTTTAATCCAAATATTACGTGTCATGTGATATATTATTAGAATATCGCGTGACTTTTTATAATTAAAGAGTGAAATGGATAACATACTTCATGAAAAAAAATAAAGGTCAAATTTAAATAAAAAAATCTTTAAATACTAAAGTGATAATGGTGTAAATTTTATAAGTCTAAAATATTATATAAATCTTTTAATTTTTAATTTTTAAAATGAAGAATAATTTGATACATTGTAAATGAAAAAAAAATATCAAGCAACGGTAGAATTATGACAACCCTAATAAATTTAAGAACTACAATTGTTATAAGTAACATTATATTTATAGGTAATTTATTTTCTTTTTCTATAAAATTCTTTAAGTTTATTTTTTCTAAAATTTTATAAATTCTAAATTAAGCGGACTATTGCGGGCTTCGCGGGCTACCCGCAGTTATACCTATTAAACCTGTGGGTTTAACGGTCCGGGTTAAAAAGCCCGCAATTTAAACGAGCTTTAGTTTTTGAGACCCGAAGCCCGCACGGGCCGCGGGTTAAACGGAAACGAAATATATAATTTGAACATTTTTTTTAACATTGATATATGAAACTAGTCACTTTAGACAAAAACATTGATATATAATTTGTGGTATGTTTTTGTCTAAAGTGACTAGTTTCATATATCAATGTTAAAAAAAATGTTCAAATTATATATTTAGTTTCTGTTAACCCGCGGCCCGTGCGGGCTTCGGGTCTCAAAAACTAAAGCTCGTTTAAATTGCGGGCTTTTTAACCCGGACCGTTAAACCCACGAGTTTAATAGGTATAAGCGCGGATAGCCCGCGAAGCCCGCAAAACCCGCAATAGTCCGCTTAATTTAGAATTTATAAAATATTGATATAATTTTTATAAAGCGACACAAACCTAAAGAAGAAAATGAAGATATAATATTAGTATATTATTAATTTAAGTATTAAATATCATTTTAGATCTTGCATAAAATATAATTAAAGCACATAAATTAAAATTTAAACGTCACATGACTCCTGGATAGAAAATATAGATTAAAAAATAGAGTAGTCCTATTAAATTTTAATGACAGTTTATTTTGTGCGTATCAAATCTAGATGTTCACGCAACATGTGAATACATGTTTGATAGTTGTAATTTATTTTTTTATTTTTTTTTATGTTTGATAGTTGTAATTTATTTTTAAACAAAAATATTTTTCAGTGATAGTTGTAATTGACTTTTCTTAATATAATTTATTTTCCTATTTTTAATATATTTTATAAAGTGTTTTACTATCTAATTTTTCGTAAAATATTTTCTTAACTGTTATCTTCAAAGTATAAGCCTACAAAATAATAATATTTTATTTATTTAATATCAACATAATATTTTAAATCATTCCAATAAAATATTAATTATTAAAATATTTAATATATATAATATAATTTTAAGGCAAAAGGGTATATGAAGCTTTTGTACTTTTCAAAAAAAAATGTGGCCCTCATCGGGTTTTTGCACCTAATGTGCTACTCAAACTTAGAAAACAAACTCAATGTGATCCTTTGACCAACATTTTTCGTCGTTGACCGTTATATTGTTGACGTGGTATTTCACAGTGCCAACATGGCATATGGGCTAAATTGGTTTTTTTTGGTTGAGTTCGAGGGTTAAATTGAGTTTTTTTAAGTTAAAGGACTTATTTGATTTTTGAGAAAAAATTATTTTAGATTTTAAAATTTAATACTAAGGAAATATGAAGAACAAAAATGAGCAACTTGACCACCCAATCAAATATACTTGCTCGGGAATAATCTTTTAAAATTATGATAATTAAATTATTTTTAAATCTCAACCTTTAAGTTAAAAATGATAAATTTACGTGACTGTATTGAGCAAATATATTTGATCAGGTGGTCAAGTTACTCATTATTGTTATTCATATTTCTTTAGTAATTTTATTTTAAAAATTATATATATATAGTGATTTAATTTTTTCTATATTTGTATATTTAATTTTTTTTCTATATTTAAAATTTAAAATTTAGGCAAAAGGATATGTGAGGCCCTTGTATTTTAAAAAAAAATCAATGTGTCTCTCATATTTTTTTTCACCCAATGTGACCCTCAAACTTAGAAAACAAAATCAATGTAGACTTTTGACAATTGGTTTTCGTCGTTGACCGTTACCAACCACACTGTCTGCCATGTCACCAACCACTGTGAACCGTCATGTTAGCACCGTAACGATCAACGTTGGAAACTGTTGGTCAAAGGACCATATTGAGTTTGTTTTCTAAGTTTGAAGGTCACATTATTTTTTTTAAAGTACAAGGGCCTCACAAACCTTTTTGTCTATTTTTAATTTAATAATATATAATAAATTATTAATAATAATTAATATTATTTTACTAATTTAATATTAATAGAATAGTTTAGTATTATTTTGTTAAATTATAATTATTAAAATATTTAAAATATATTTATTAATTTTTTAATAATATAATATAATAATTTGTTTTAATATCGTAATAATATGCTTAGCTATATAATAAATAATGAATATAATTAAATATTATTTAATATTTTCATAAAAACATTATTAAATAATTAATAAATAGTAATATCATTTAATAGTATCATATTTTAGTATTATTTTAATTAAAATATTAATTATCAAAATATTTAAAATATATTTATTAATAAAATAATAATAAAAAATATTTTAATAATGTCAACATAAATAATATTGAATAAATTAATCTAATATTTTTAAAAAATAATTTTTATTATATGTTATATTTTTAATAAAAAAAATTGTGAAAAAATTTCAACTAGAAATATTTTACATAGCATCATCCCAATACAGTAAAATATTTTTCAAAAATTATTTTTAATGTAATCATTTTATGTAAACAACTTTTCAAGTAATCATTTTTAGTAAATAATATTTTAGAAAATCAATTACAATATATTAAAAAGACCCATATTTTAAATATATTTTACATTATATTTAAATTGACATTTAATACTCAAATATATTACTAGAACAATTGAATGATATAATTAAAACTATATTAATAAGTTGTGGAATTAATTAAAATATTTAAAAATTGAAGAGTAGAATATAAACATAATTTGAAGGTATCTAATATAGTTAACTCTTAATTCAGATAAAATAATTATCAAATTACTATTTAATAATTTGTAATGTAAAAGTGTAGCAATTGTTTATAAACTATGTATGAATTATGGTTAGATCTATCTATGAATTATGCCGTACATAGTTGAAAATTTCTAACCCTAAGTTTGATTTTGGCCTACCGAATCCGATGGCTTCATTTAATTGTCTATAAAGTATTAAATACTATAATTAGATAAATTAAATAATACATTTAAACTTATAATTTAAATACTATAATGATAATATCGATTAAATTAAGATTCGATCAATTTAAAATAAGGAAAAGTGGACATCCCATCACAATCATATCCTTGATCCATAACTCCTTCCTCAATCGCCATCAGTCGACGGCCATGTGACCAATTGAGGCCGCTGGACCATTTTCATATGCATGATATAAGGTATAGTCTGTAATTGATATATGACAAAGTGATAGGTGGCATGGACCATCCACCAAACATTTGTAACTTACCATTCATCAATCAGACAAAGCAACCCCTACCACGTCCATACATATAAAAGCGACCCCTAATCCCAACTGTACCTTCTCACTTATGCTTGCTTTTGTCTAAATACCTACCCATAAATGTTGCATCAATTCGATTTGTACAAGTACACATACATGTTTGTAAAATACAACTGCAAAACAAATACGTTAATATTGACTATCATAAATAATATAACTATTATGTCTTGGTAAAATCTACTACATTAGAAACGATTTCGTTTAGATTAATATAATATTAATATTAGATGATGCACCTTAAAATTAACATAGTGAGGAATGAAACTCAATTGGTGTTTCTCTATTCAATCTTGAGACTAAAAGGAAGTAAAAGACAATAATAATGTATTTCATCTTAGATATGACGAAGGGTTATCCCATATATAAGAGTAGTAGAGAGATAAAATTGTTAAATAAAAACTATCTAATCCATCTACTTCTTAGATACGTGTGACCTAAGATTGATGTAATTATGATAATGGACGATGCCCCCAAGGTTAACATAGTCTTTCAAACATCGTGCACCCGAAGTGAGAAAGTGAAACTCATTTGGTGTTACTCTATTCGATCTGAAGATTAAGATGAGATAAAAGAGAATAATAATGTATCTTCTCTTAGATACGTGGAAGAGTTATCCCTTATATTAGAGTAGTAGAGGGGTAAAATTGTTAAATAATAATTACCCACTCCATCTACTCCCTATATATAACTGACTCTATCCCCTAAATAGGATTTACTATTTCATTGCTAATTAGAGTGAGCGTTCTATCGAGTTAAGTAAAAAAAAATTAAGTTATTCAAGTTGACGAGTCTTATATTATATTTCAAACTTAGTTTAATTTTTTTTTGGAGTTGAGTCGAGTTTACAATATTACAACTAGAAATCAATTTGAGTCTAATTTTTTTGGCCGAATCGAGTCAAAAAATCAATTTTTTGATTTGAATAAAGTTTTACTTACCTCTATTACTAACAATCCCCACTAATGCAAATAAGCAAAGATTTTAATTGCAAGAAAAGAGCAACAACAAAATTAGTCGTTTAAGTACTAGTGAACGTATCTAGACTAATATATAGTGTAATGAGCAATTATTCTCTTCACAAGTGAACAAAATTGGAACTTATTAAAATAGGAATAAACTCACAACACACGATTAATTTATTCTCCAAACGAGCTTCATGATACGTCAAAGATTTAGCCAATATGCCTCGAGATGCAAGTAAGTGTTCTAGAAAGAGAACCTAAAGTCTTTCACATATTGATATAAGTATATCACATATGAATATATATATATATATGTATTGTATATGATTATTTTAAATTAGAATTAAATAGTATACTAATATTATAAATATTTACAATTAAATTTAAACAGAAATTTGAAAACTCGATTCGACTTAACTCGACTCGAATTTTATAAATTCAACTCGAAAAAGTTTCAAATCAAATATGAGTTATATAATAAGACTCATCAACTCAAATAATTTAAATTTTTTTGACTCGATTTGAATCGATCGAATGTTGGTCCCTAGTTGAAGTAGTGAGGTAAAAGTCTTCTACAATGTTGGTTGGTTTATAGTCCCCAATTCAGGTCAAGCCATGATTACACCAAATGAGACTCTAGTATTTATTTGGATTCTTATATCCACTGTTGGATTGGTTTTGGGCCAAGGGCTCTGCAGACCTAGTAGCAAGGTCCACAATGAGAGTTGATAGCCTCTAGTTGACCTCTATTTTAGTTCTTTATTTCTTTATTTGCAATTTATTATTTCAACTTATTAATTCATTTTCTTTTAATTTAGTTCTTTATTTTTCATTTGTTTACTTAATTTCAGCTGATTAATTTTAATTCATATGCTTTAATTTCCACCTTTCAATTTTATTTCTTTTTCAATTTAGTCTTCTATTTAACTTTTTACAATTTAATTTCAGCATTTCAATTTTACATTTATTTAAATTTCAGTCCTTATTTATTTTGTATAATTTAATTCTCCCTTTCATTCATATTAGTCCTATTTCATTTATTTATCTCATAGTCTTATTTATAAATATTATTATAATAATATTTATAATATTATATATTAATAATACATGTGTGTGTGGGGGGGGGGTGTTTGTGTGGGGGGTTATATGATTATAATGAATAGTTTACTTTTAATATTATAATATAATTTTCCATATACGTATTTTTATTACCATGATTTTCTTATAATTATATTTTTATATTATATTACAATATTTATATTATTATTTTATAAACTAGATTATTATTATACATCGTATTATATTTTTTTATATGTATGGGTGCTGTGGGAATGCCCATCATTTTTCATATGTAATAAACTCTCAAACTTATTTTCTAACGAATTTCTTATAAAGCACAAATCTTAATATTGTGTTTAAGAATAGGTTTTCAATTTTTTTATTAAAAAATAATTTTTAAATGTTCAATTATACCTAGCCACATTCTTAAATCTTCCATTTTCGTTTATTATTATTATTATGCTCGAATCTGAATCCAAATCACATTCTAGACATTAAAAGAAAAAATAAAAATGGTTGACTAGTGAGTGGGATAAGGGAGGGAGTTGATATTTGGCTATTGGCGTCTGTGGTGTCTATGTCCAGGAGCATGTCGACTCGAATCGCCAGACCATAAAGGATAAAACCAGAAAGTATACTAAAAGTATCCATAATCAAAACCCAGAAACCATGCTTACTCGCAACGTGGCTGCGCCGCCGTCTTCTCTGTAAGAACCCTCTTTAACCAGTTCCCAGTTTTCATTTTTTTTCTAATGGGATTTCATTTGTCATTTTGCAGATGCCCAATTCTTTCCCATGACTGGCATTTCCAAGTATCTGATCAGCTTTTGTTTCCCCACAACTTAAACCCAAATCTCAATCGTGGTATTTACTTCCTCCCACTGTCTGGATTTTCCTTTCTCTCGTTGGTTCCACAGTTTTAAAAGCTGATTGTTTCGTTTATAATTAGATTATGGAAAAACTGACCTTGTTCTTTCGTTGTTGTTGTGAGTGGAGTTCACAGTCTTCGTTAGAATTTCGGTATGCAATTAAGCAATATTGAATTAGAACATGTTTAGAATTTGAACACTTTGTGTTTTCTTTTTGCAGCAACCAGAAAGATTAAGGGATTCCGACTCAAGGCAAACTTTTGGGAGTCCATCAGATCTGGGTATTTTCATTTATGTGTTGTTTTTGAACAATGGACTTTAATATGCATGTTATGCTGAGACTGGTAATCTTGGATTGTTGTTTCAGTCTCTGTTTCTGTGAACCTTCTGTTAGTGTTATGTGTTTCCAGAAGATAATTTAGGTTCTAGTGTTATTTTAGTTTCCTTCTAGCCATGGCCTTAGGCCTCGCTAGATTCGTTTGTGTGCATGTTCATGCCCGAATGCTCTTTTTAATTGTCTAATTTTGACTCAAGTTACCAGCTGACATGGTTTTCAGCCATGGTACCAATAGAACCAACACCATTTGCCTTATTTCTCTAGAGCAAATCACCAATAATTATTGAACTACGATTAATGAATCATAGCTCGAAAGTGTGTAGGGTTCAGTATGAAGGTTACACCTAATATGTGGTGGACCTTAACATAATTCTTTGTCGTGATTGGACTCTTTTCAGTTATCTAGTTTTTCCTCAACTTACCAGCTGACACTGTTTTAAGCCATGGTACCAGTAGAACCAATCATATTTGCCTCATTTCTTTGTAGAAAGTGCCTGTAATTATTGCACTACTATTAGTGAATCATTACTTGAAAGCGTTTAGGGTTCAGTATGAAGGTTACACTTATAAGTAGTGAACCTTAACATGGTTCTTTGTAGTGATTGGATGATAGTATGATTGTAGTAAAAAGAATTGTAGGTGAAATTCTCCATCATTTTTCTCTAGTCTCATTGGAGCACCCTTTCTGCCTTGCTTATCGTCCTAGAATTTTGAAGAACAACGCAACACAAATCGTGGAACCACCCTCTACTCTCGAGGAAGAGGAAGAACCGGTGCCTGAAGAATTTGTGCTTGTTGAAAAGTCTCAACCAGACGGAGAAGTTGAACAAATAATATTCTCTTCTGGAGGAGATGTGGATGTCTATGAGCTTCAAGCCCTATGTGACAAGGTAAGGATCTTTCGTTCGATGCATCTAGATAATGCCTGATGTATGCCGTCACAGTGATTGCAAGTTTGTTGCTTTTGGGTTATGCTGTACCCTGCACCTGCTTTATAGAATTCGGATTTATTGGCATGCTTTTGAAAAGGTTGGCTGGCCAAGGAGACCATTGTCAAAACTAGCCATGGCTTTACAAAATAGTTACATGGTAGCCGCATTGCATTCGGTTAGGAAATTTCCTGGTCAAGGTATGCGGATAATGTTGAAATGGCTGATTTTTTAATTGCAATAGTTCAATGATATTTATATTCCTAAAACTATTAATAAACATCTTAGTGTATTTGGGGAAGTCATTTGACAGAAGGGAATGAGGAAAAGAAGCTAATTGGAATGGCTCGTGCTACATCCGATCATGCATTCAATGCTACAATCTGGGATGTTCTTGTTGATCCTAACTATCAGGTACTCGAGTAGGCATAGACATTGGAAACGGCAACGAAGGGGGGTGGGGGATTTGTGAAGTTACATAATCATTTCATGAAATCTTCAATGTTGTGTTCTAATAGTGTGCATGCAATGCAGGGCCAAGGCCTTGGTAAGGCCATGGTTGAAAAGATGATAAGGACTCTTCTACAGAGGGATATCGGTAATATAACACTTTTTGCCGACAGTAAAGGTACGAGGCCTTGATCACCATGAAACCGAACTCCAATAAAGTTGTTGAACTGCCTGTAATAATACCATCTTACTTGGTTGCAGTTGTAGAGTTCTATCAGAACTTGGGTTTTGAACCTGATCCGGAGGGCATTAAAGGTATGTTTTGGTATCCAAGGTATTGATTGCCATTTCGATTACGAAAAGAAACCGAGCTCAAGGAGAGAGCTCACTGGTGGGGTTTAGATGAGGGAAATTAATCATACATTTGTCACCTGAACTCCAAGTAATCCGATTTACTCTAGGGGAGGGCATCTTTTACAGTAGTTTATGACTCACTCATTATTAGACAACTCGATGCATGTGGGGATTATTGTTTTTAAAGGCACGAGTTTGGATTCAAACAAGTGCTTCCCCCATATTTTAAAATTTATGGTTTGAGTGTCTGATATTCACAACTCACCGCATATACTCCTTCCTGCCCTACTAATTATTGCCAATATTTATATTATTTGTTTAATATCAACTTGGAAATGATCAAATTCTTTCTTGATAATAAGGTTAGGATTTATTTATTTTTATTAAGATTTCTCTCAAGTTAGTATACATGATGTGGTCAATATTTTAATTTTGTCTTAATCTTTATTTAAAGGCTACAACTATCAACTTGTATTTAACCCGGATTAATCGATATATATATATAACTACCAACCCAAATACGCCCCACCAAAGTTTAATTTTAAGAAACAAATTATTTGTATTAGAACTTTAAAATTATATTTACTAATTAAAAATAAAATCATATTATAAGTGCAAAAACTTGAATAAATTTAGGGTATATTTTTTTCACGGAAAATAGATTGCGGAAAATATTAATGATTGATGGTTTGATTGATATTATTTAAATAATTAAGTAGTTCGGTTGATAAAATTAAAAGATCGATGATTAATTTAAAACTTCTCATAGTTAAGTAGTCATAGATGTAGTTTACCCAAAAATTAAACTGATGATTTATTTTCAAAACCTTGAATGAAGTCCAAAATCATTAAGCCAAATTTATATAAAAATAATTTTTGATAAATTCAGGGTAAATAAAAAATAGTATTTATTCAAAGATTCTTAATCATTTGACAATGAACGTTTATATCTCTGTATATACGGTATATCAAGAAATATAAACAAATCACTTAACTATTAAGGTTGTTTGGTTCATACATATAATAATAATTTTAGAAAATTGTGCCATCATTATGAATTTTCAACTATAATTCTAAATATAATATATTTTATGTGACGCCGTAACCCGAGAAAAGGTAATTCCAAAATTAGGATAAATTTAAGGCTTAATATAAAAATAAATATCTAAACTATACCTAAAGTTAGCTTTATGTGCTTAAAAATGTGTCTAACGTTTCTCACGTTACACTCTTAGACGCGTGGACCGTTAACATCGTTAAATTTATTCGTTAAGTGACACAAGTCATTTAATGGAAGAATTTCACGGCATACACCTCAAAGTGTAACGTCGAAAACATTAAATACTTATTTTTAATGAGAAATTCTTTAGATACTTAAAATTAATATCGAGTATAATTTGAATATTTATTTTTGCATCAGCTTAAATTTAATTTTAGAGGCTTGAAAGCAAAGCCATTGATTATGTAGGTTTTCAAAGGTTGACAAATTCCCACCAAACTCTACATTTACATACAATTGAGTCGGAGGAGCATAGTCGGTGGAGAAAAAACAAACTTGTTAGCTGGGATGGGTATAGATAGGATTTGCTTGGTTCAAACTTGATATTGAATAATTTTTTATTTGAATTGGGTAAGCTATTCACTTGGTACCTAAAATATTACTTTCATTCCATTTTGGTATCCAAATTTTAACTTTTTTTCAAAATCATACCTAATGTTTAGGTTAAAAACTGAACGGTGCCATAAGATAATGTCATGTCTTCATTGAAAAAATAAAAAATCTCACTTCAGTAGTTCTGTTAAATTTTTAATAACGAGTATCAAATTAAAACCTAAACTAAACATTAAGTATGGTTTTGAAAGAAAAAAATTTAAACATTTTAAGCGCATTGGAGCCTCGCAATCACAATAACCAGAGTTTGTTTGTGCTCTACAATGATAAAACATTCATCATGATTAATGCAATGCAACAACTTTTACCATACCAAAGAAAAGAAAAATAACGTATGAAGCAAGTCATATACAAGAATATGAGTGTTCATTATTAAATAATTGAAAGTCTTTGAACAAATATTACCCACTTCCAACACTTTGCTTTCTGAATTTTTATTGATCACGATGATTGCGTCAAAAACTTTTTTTTAATCTATATGAGATATGCACCAAATTTTATCTTGTGTAAATTATTAAAATTTTAAAATGGAGATGAATTTTTAAAAATTTAAAGAAAAAAATAAATTTAAAATTTTTAAGTAGATGACTACCTTCAATCGCCTATCAGTCCATTCCGGCTATCTTTTAAAATGTGACACAATTAAAATAAAAAAAAAATACACTTTCGATAACAATTATACCTCCTTAATTAAAATGTCTGTATGAAGTATCTCCATATCACCCAAAGCCTCTTTTTTTCCCTAACGCCAATTTGTTTAGGAATAAAATCTTTTTTTTTTACACCCTCTAAACTTTCTTTATATTTTCATATTCAAGCAGCTCCTTTCGTAGAAGATTTTGAGTTCAAATTTTATATAAAATATTATTAATTCAAATAAAATTATTATAAAAACAACACATTAGTAGTTAATGAGGTCACAAAAAGAGACATGAAAAATAAAAAATATTAATATCATAGTTAATTTTTTATGACAGATGATCAAAAGAAAAAGGAAATATAATGTAAAATTAAATAAATAATAATGTGATGATTAATGATGCAATTTACCTTAAACTCATCTATGGTTTTAAAATATTCACGTGGTTAATTTTTAATAGCCGATGATAAAAATAGAAAAAAAAAGAATATAATTATAGTATGACTTTGTTAAAAAAAATAATTCAATGCTTAAAATAAACAATAAATAATAGTTTAGGGGCTAATGGTATAATTTACTTAAAATAAATAAATATTTGATATATTTTCAGAGCAACCCATAACAGCTGCTGATTCATCCATGAGCTTGACAATGGCTTGTTGGTTGGTAAAAAGTCAACCGCAGCCATCTCTATCTTCATTTTCCCTTCTTTCTCACTTCCCCAGACTCCCTTTTCCCCTCATATTATGACTTACCTGCTAAAACCTAACATTTTCATTTGAGTTTTCTTTTTTGTCAACTCGGAAATGATTTGCAGAGTGAAATTAGGCGGATGCATATTGGCCATCTGCTTCTGCCTTGCTGCGGCTGCTTCTCCTCTTACCCATCATTCTGAAGGTTTTTCATTCTCGGTTGCAGTTCTGATTAACACTGATAATATGAGTCATGAGATTACAGTCCAAATAGCAATAATTTCGTTTTTGACTTTTGCTAATCTTTAATCCGTTGGCGCTGCATGGAATTTCGTTACTTGCTATTTATTAAGATTTCCCAATTGCAGTTAGTGCATTACGAGCAGTGAAGAAGCAATTGGTTGATCCGATGAACAATCTCAGAAATTGGAGCAAAGGGGATCCTTGCACAGCCAACTGGACTGGAATTCTATGTTCTAATGAACTTGGGGATGATGGATATTTGCATGTTCAGGAACTGTACGTTTTCTCTTGCATACTCCGCACTTGGGGGTGTAAATGAACCGAGCTTGAATCAACAAAGTTATGTTTGCGTTCGTATATTTATTTTTTAAAGTGTTCGTATTCATTTCGCAAACATGTTCGTTAACATTCATTTACACCCCTATCCACACCTAGTTATGGTTGATCAGTACTTGAGTTGCTTCTTGGCTTTACGATTATTTCTTTTTTCATTTTGTTGGTTATCAAAAAAGTTGGTGCTCATCCTTAATGCTAACTGCTTTCTGTAATTGATGCAGTCAGCTACTGAATATGAATCTCTCGGGAACTTTAGCGCCTGAACTTGGCCAACTTTCTCGTCTCAGAATACTGTGAGTTGGGATATGAATTTGAAAATGCACCATAAACATTCCCTGACGCATAATTTCCAGTGGAGCTAACATATTTTCTTTTGTTTGTGGAAGAGATTCATGTGGAATGAATTGACTGGAACTATACCAAAGGAGATAGGACATATCTCTCCCTTAAGACTCCTGTAAGTTATATCTTTCTTCTTCTTTCTTCTTCGATAAAGAAATTGAAAGAAACAATACGTTTCTTTATTGAAAGGGGATCAGAGGGATACTTTACAGAAAAGGTTTATCTTTTTTCTTAATCATCTTTTTTATATTAATCTAAGTCTGATTGAGTTTATGGTGTGGAGATTAAAATATCTACATGAGAAGCTCTTTGAGACTGACGGTGACATGGTTGTTATCCAAAAATTAGAAGAGAAACGTGATATTTTGTTAGTTTTTAACTGTGTGTGGCATTCTGTATGCAGACTCTTGAATGGCAACAAATTATTTGGTTCTTTGCCAGATGAACTTGGCTACCTCTCAAATCTGAATAGACTTCAACTAGATCAGAACAACATTTCTGGTCCAATACCAAAAACCTTTGTCAACATGGGCCGTGTGAGACATCTGTAAGTGAACCTACAAGCTAAATGCCATTTCAACTTTAACATGGAGATGAACACTTAAATGAATTTCAGCTTAACAAGGAGACAACTATTTTCTACTTGTTTTACATGCTTGTTTGTAATGTGCAGCCACCTCAACAACAACTCCTTTAGTGGCCAAATTCCACCGCAGTTATCTCAGATACCCACTTTGCTTCACTTGTAAGTTCATTTAAAATATGCTCTTATTTCATATGCATTTTTCTTTTCTTTACTATTGGTATCCATATTTTACTTATTTTATATTCTGGTATGTCATTGGTGATATAAAATTTTTATTGTTTGCAGGCTTTTGGATAACAATAACTTATCTGGATATCTTCCTCCAGAATTCTCAAACTTGCCAGAATTGCGCATACTGTATTTTCTTCCCTTCAATCATCTTCCTCATTATGTGATTTAGTTATTGACGTTATCTTCCAGCTTTAACTTGCTTCTTTATTGATGTTATGCCTGTTTCTTATCAAGCAAAGCGTTTGTCACTAAAATCTAAAATCTTACATAACCAACTTTAATAAGGCATACATGTCATTTTTCTTATTTATCTATTGGTTATTTTGGCAATAACTGTTTTCTACATTTCTGCAGTCAGCTTGATAACAATGACTTCGGTGGATCTGTTATTCCAGCTTCGTACGGAAACTTTTCTAGATTAGTGAAATTGTAAGTGTTAGTAAAACATTTGTTTTGTCTTGGAGTTTATTTAGTGAGTTAAAGAAAACATTTAAGCTTACAAAGGTAGTGATTTTAGTATCACTATTGAATAAAAAGAATCATAAATAACATGAACTTGCCCTTGAGATCGAATACATCAATTCAATTATAACATATACCTAATTTTCTCTTCAATGTTTAACTCTGGAATTTGTATTTAATATCATGAACTAAACTGTACACGCAATATGTTTTTGCACAAATCTTCTGAAGACTACTGATGCTATTTATTTCACTCGGTGTCTTTCAGAAGCCTAAGGAATTGCGGCTTGCGGGGAGCTGTTCCTGATCTTAGCGGGATACAAAACCTTACCTATCTGTATGTCTGGGTTACTCTTTTAATTATTGTGTGATATTTAATATTCACCTTCTTGGGTTGCATTTATTTATGCAACACTGCAAATTTCTATCTTATTTCAGCCACCAAATTTAACTCATATTCTTGTATATGCATTCATGTGGCAGGGATCTCAGCCAGAATCATCTTACTGGACCCATACCAACAAATAAGCTTTCAGATCATATGACAACCATGTAAGTGGAGAGCTAATTTAAACTCATCGAGTGTCTTGTTTCAGTAACTAAATAAACTCGTATTTTTAACCGCTCCAATTTGGATATCCCAATTGCCTAAATATTTAACTAAATCACAAGTTAATCTTTTGAAATTTGTAATGTTATCTTCTTTTGATTAGATAATAAAAATGAAATCTAGATAAATTCCCAAAAAGAGATGACTTCTTCTTTATTGCAGTGATCTTTCAGGTAACCAGCTAAACAGAAGTATCCCTGCAAGTTTCTCAGACCTTCCTTCACTTCAGACTCTGTGAGAACCTATATGCATATAAAACTGTTCTATATTTCCTGTTGTCAAATACATATTTACATTTTGCAGAGTCTAGAATCTAAATGATGGTTTATTGCAGATGTCTCAAGAATAATTTTCTGACAGGTCCCGTTCTTACTGACATTTGGCAGAATATGACCTTCAGTACTAGTGCTAGACTTAAGCTGTAAGATCTGAAAGATGTGAACTCACTTTTTATAAAACATAATATGTCTTTGACAAGCTTTGTTTTCGTGCACATTGCGAACCACTGCCCTTATGAAATAGAATTCATTAGTTTCCCTTTGTCTGCACATCTAAAATGCAGAGATCTTAGAAACAATTCATTCTCAAGCATTCAAGGACATTTAAATCCTCCGGTGAATGTTACCTTGAGGTATACTTCTTATTTTGTTATTTCATCGGTTAGCCTTGTTCAACATGTGGTTTAATGTTCCCATTTGGATACCTTCAACTACTGGTCATTTTTCTTCATGCATTCTTTTATCTTTTAGTTTTATTATCAAAATCCTTGCAATTTTAGCAGTTTTTCTTTAGGCTTGAAGGCAATCCTGTCTGCAAAAATGCAAACTTGTTGAATGTAAGCCTGTTCTGTGGATCTGAATCTGAAGAGAACGAGACGCGTACAAACTTAAATAACTCAACAGCGAATTGCCCAATTCAAGCATGCCCAAGAGACAATAACTATGAATATGTCCCAGCATCTCCTCTGCCATGTTTCTGTGCAGCACCTCTCAGAATTGGATATCGTCTGAAGAGCCCTAGTTTTTCTTATTTTCCTCCTTACATCCAGCCTTTTGAGGCATACTTGACTCGTTCTTTGAACTTAAGCCTATATCAACTATCAATTGATACATATTCATGGGAGAATGGACGTCTAAGGATGTATTTGAAGCTTTTTCCTAGCATCAATAGTAACCACTCCAGTACTTTTAATGTTAGCGAAGTTCAGAGAATCAGACGGAGATATATGTCATGGACTTTTCCCGGTAGCAACTTGTTTGGACCCTATGAGTTGCTCAATTTCACTCTACTTGGACCTTATGCAGATAGTACGTACTTCATCTTGCAATTCTTATGCAATAATGTTTTCTTATTTATAGCGACATGGCTGCAGTAGTAGTTTGGAAGCTGATTTTCATTACTAACATGAGATTATTAAATAAATACTGCCTAAATTTATATGTTCTTAATCTTGAACTTTTATGACAGAACTTTCTTGTTATATAGAAATTAAATTAGCATAAATATTGTTAGAATCGCCATCTTTATAAAACAAGAAAACCAATCTGGGGCAAATCAAGCTGCCTTGGCATGTAGATGGTACACATTTGTGAAAAGCAAGACTTTTTTTCTAAAATGAGTTACGATGTAAGGTGGATGCATGTCATTTTATTCTAAGAATAAAATAGCAAGCCATTTGATAGTTTAATTATTTACATAATATTTCTTTATTCTTCATTTTATATTAATAATGCATTGATTGTTTTGTTATTTGCTCAGTTAAGTTTGAGAACACTAAGGGTATTAGAAAGAGCGTTTTGGTAGCTGTTGTGGTTGTGGGTGCTGCCTGTGCAATTGCAATGTCTGCTATAGTAACAATTCTAATAACAAAAAGACATGCTGGACAACGCCGAGCAATGTCAAGAAAACGTTTGTGTAAGCTCCTTAATATAACTACTTGATTTCTTTCTCCCAATAACATGATCTCCAACTACCACCAGAAGAGGAGTCTAGTCTAAGTATCTTATTGTGCTTTGCAGCTTCAAAGGTTTCTATGAAACTTGATGGGGTGAAAGACTTTACATTTAAAGAAATGGCACTGGCTACTGACAACTTTAACAGCTCTAGTCAAGTTGGACAAGGAGGATATGGAAAAGTGTACAAAGGCACTTTACCTGACAAAACAGTTGTTGCCATAAAACGTGCAGAAGAAGGATCTTTGCAGGGACAAAGAGAATTTCTTACAGAGATAAAGCTTTTGTCAAGGCTGCATCACCGAAACCTAGTTTCATTGGTTGGATATTGTGATGAAGAAGGGGAACAGGTACATTTTTGTGATCATTATCATTATATACCTGTAATAAGTCAATTACATGAGTGGGTTGGGCTGTGCATGTGCATTCTTTGTGTCCTTATGGTGTGGATTTTAAACCTCTTAGCAGTGTATTATTAGCTAGTTTTATCTACATAAGGTGTGACTCAATTAAATATAAAGTTCATATCCTTGTGTTGTTGGTCCATTTGCAGATGTTGGTATATGAGTTCATGCCCAATGGAACCTTGAGGGACTGGCTTTCTGGTACGTAATTTTTCAGTATTCATTGTCTTTAAAGTTTTATTTTGTAACAAATCTTATTATCACTCTTTAAATCCTGAAGTGTTTAGATGGGCTATAAGTTCAGCATTAATCATGTAATGTCACCATTTGAAGCCAGTAATTGGCTGCGTAGCTTGTAATAATATATATGCTGACGTTGATAATATGTTTTTAAAATGTCTTCTCAGCTCATAAAATTAACCTAAAACATGATATGCAGCTAAATCCAAAGAAAGCCTAAATTTTGGAATGAGATTACTTATTGCGCTGGGTTCTGCCAAAGGAATTCTTTATCTCCATACTGAAGCAAATCCTCCAGTATTCCACCGAGATATCAAAGCTAGCAACATTCTCGACTCCAAGCTCAATGCAAAAGTTGCCGATTTGGTCTCTCACGGTTAGCTCCAGCCCTTGATGACGAGGGAACTGTGCCAGATCATGTTTCCACTGTTGTGAGGGGAACACCGGTGAGTTTGAGCTAGACATGACTAAAAGCCATCCTATTGTACTTTATGCTTTACTTTCATTTTGGTCTCTTGGACTCATTGTAGTATGAAATTGGACTAAAATTTGTCAGATTAATCAGGTATGAGAAAGTGGTTCGGATATATGGTGTGATAAACGTATAAGTGTAGTTTATTTAATTTTCTTCTAGGAGAGTTTTCAGCATTTCAGTTGCACTATTGATTGAACATTTGATCCCCTTTTAGACATAAACTCTGTGGATGCTAGTCACTACATAGCATACTATTATTGCTCTCTTGTTTTATGCAGGGGTACCTTGATCCAGAATACTTTTTGACCCATAAATTGACAGACAAAAGTGATGTTTATAGCCTTGGAGTTGTTTTCCTGGAGATGTTGACTGGAAAGCGACCGATATCGCATGGCAAAAACATTGTCCGTGAGGTACTCTATGTTCCTAGCAAAATCTTGTATGAAAGCGGCAAGTACATTTTTGCTGCTAATTTTTTCAAATTGGTGAATGTAAATGTTGTTCTGGATCTAAAAGCTCTACTTATTAAAGTTATTCTGAATATCTTGTGTTAAGGTGAAAACTGCGCATCAGTCCGGCACAATGTTCTCGATAATAGACAGTAGAATGGGTTGTTATCCATCCGAATGTGTCGAGAGATTTGCAGGGCTAGCTCTGTGTTGTTGCCAAGACAAGACTGATAATCGTCCATCGATGCCGGATGTGGTGAGGGAACTAGAATTCATACTGAAAATGATGCCAGAAACTGAACCAGTTTCATCAGATTCCGCTTCATCGTCTTCTAATTCAGGCAAGTTGTTACAGTCATCTTCGGCGTCTTATGTTTTGTCATCGAATGTTTTGGGTAGTAATCTTAGCAGTGGCGTTGTTCCGTCTATCACACCTCGCTGAGCCAACGAGCGGGCAAGACAAACACACACACATACATGTAGATAATACCATGATCATATTATGGTAGTGTTCCTTTATTCTTGCCTACTGTTTGTTTGATTTTGGTTCGAGCGAGAGGGTGAGATTAAAGGGCATTAATAAAAATTGTGTTGTTGTAACTATTGAGTGTAAAGTATCAAAACCATATTCATAATCAGGGATTTAAATCTCGATTTAAATCGTTATTTCACAACCGTGATACTCGTAATGATCATAATAGCACCGGCTGTTACTGCAATTTAAATCGCTGTTCATACATTAGCTTCACCATTCCAAAGCTTTTCTAAATTATTTATTGTTTGAACAGAATAATTCAATCCAAACCAGAAGGAAATAACTGAATTGAAATCCATTTTAACCAAAATGATCCAAATACAATCCACCCAACATTAAGGAAACTGGATAATATAACATGAGCCCTAAATGAAAATGGTAGTAAAAACCAATAATGTTACTCATCGTCCTTGTATGGGTACTCTTCTGGAATTTGTTTCAAAAGTTTGACCTGCAATTCATATGCATCGTCTCCTCTAAGCATATCACGGATCCAGGTGACTTCCGTCTTCATCGCCACCATCTCCAGTGCTCCTCTTATGACTCCGCTCAAAATGTTGCAGTAGAAGAGGCCTTGGCAAGTATCCGGAAGCTCTACAAAGTCCACGAGCGGATTATCCTCCAAAACAATGCTGCAACAGCTCCCATCCGCATCCCAGTTCACCACAGATGCGCTCACCCCAAGGAACATTTTGAAACCAATCTTCGCGATCATCTCCGCCGTCTCCTTGAAATCCGCGCATCTCGACACGTTGGATTTTGCCAGAAACTCGTCGATTAGTCTAATTCCTATGTTGTATCCCATTTGATCCAGCTGTTTGTTGACCTCTTCGACCTCCTCCAGATCAGTAAGCAATTGACGCACAATTGCTCCATAAGTCAAAGTGAATAGTTCCGCGTTTACGCGTTCGACGCTGGAGAAGATCGCTTCACCGGATCGGGGAGCCGCAGGAGGCATTTTTGTTGAGATCTTGAAATGCTCAAACGGAGAAGAAAATCTTTTGAAGTAGCGGTGGCCGAAAGAAGCGATCAACAAGAAACCTACTTTTTCAGTTTTGAATCTGCTTAATGGGAAGAAAAAGGAGAGAAGATAAGGCATAAAAATCAACTTTAATACATTTTTACCCCTTCCTTTTACCTATTTTACTATTTTGGCCCTTATTTTTTTAGGGAAAACTATACATTTAGTACCTAAACTATTATATTTATTCCATTTTGGTATCTAAACTTTATATTTTCTCAAATCACACATAATTTTTAGTTTATATTTCATTTTGATACTCACCGTTAAAAACTTAACGATGATGTTGACGTCTCACTATAAGATAATATTATGTCATCATTTAAAAATAAAAAATGACACATCAGTAGTTTTATTAACGACATGTATCTCAACAAAAAGATAAACTAAAAATTAGGTATGGTTTTGAAAAGAAATAAAGTTTATATATCAAAACAGAATAAAAGTAATAATTTATATACTAAACATATAGTTTATCTGTTTTCTTTAATAAGATGCGTTGCCCAAGCTACCCCAAGCCAAACTATTAAGATCCATTAAAAGCCCATCGAGCAATACTATCATGCGACACCAACACTGTTAATCTTAAAACAATTTGGCTTACTGAAAAAAAAAAAAATATATATATATATATATATATATATATATATATATATATATATATATATATATATATATATCAAATTATGTATTTTTTTAATCATTTCGAGTGTTTAAAAGAATTTTTTTAAATATAGATATATAATGTTTTTATTGTTATTATTTTAAATATCTCATTCGTTACACGTTAAAAAACATGTTATTTAACATATGTTGTGTTTATATTTTTTGAATTTTTATTTAAAACAACTTAAAATATTAGTATTTGTGAAGATTGCCTATCCTTCGTATCTGATGATCCTGGATCTTTTTGATGATTTTCTCCTTCATACCCGATGATTCCAAATCTGAAAAATGACTCACTCCTTCGTATCTGAGGATATCAAGTCTTAAAGAATGGCTTCCCTGATTCGTACTTGATGATGCTGGAAAACGTAAAGATGATATGCTCATTCGTATCAAAGGACACTAAATCTATTTAAAAAACATGTGATAGTTTTACGAAAGAATAACATGTCTGTGATAATATATTAATTGAGTGGATAACTTAGAATTTTTAGAAAACTGTGTCTTGTTCATAATCAAACTAATGATTGAGTAATGAGAGGTGGTTTATCCTTTCAGATTATTATTGGTAATGTTCAATCCCACATAATATTGAAAATACTATTGGGAATGATATTTAAGGCTTGACTTTTCCACTTCCTTGTTGAGTGATAAAGAACAAGGAGGACTCTCGCGCACCGCCGCCGCCGTCCGTCCGTCTCGGCTCGGCTCGTGGTCGTGGTAATACATGTATTCGACTGATATTTATAGGCTGCTGAGGACTGTTTAATTTCAAATGATAACAGCTGGTTTATGAGAGTTATCAGAAATTAAACAGCTTTTCCTAAATTAAATCAAAAACGTTAAGATGTATCTGGTTGTACAGAGGAGACAAGTTGTTAATATCAGGAGTTACAAGAGTTATTTGATTTAATTTCATGGGTTACATGATATAATTTCGGGAGTTATAACAGATGAACAATGATGCAATGAACCTGGATTATTTTTGAGTCAGATTCATCTAGAAGTTTCAGCTGTTACAAAAGAAGATATTTAATCCTGAAATTTTATAGACGATTTTAACCATATTTTCTAGTTTATAAATAGAGGGTTATATTCAGCTCCCCAACTCACTCTCAAACATTCACAATTCACTTACAAAAGTATTTTCTACAGTTCTCTCTGAGTGTTTTCCAATCAGAAGAGCAATACCACCAGCAGTCCACACCGGTTTCGGGTGTACGGAATTCAAAGCGACTGTCTTAACCTCGGGGGACGGTCCGCCTACTACAACGATTACACACATCGAGACGAATTCGTTTCTAAGACAGTAATTTTTACCACGACACGATTTACGAATTTATTCATTTTAATTACTATTTATATTTCTAGTCAATTCTAAATGAGTAATTTTGCCGTTCATATATCTAACAATTATATAGGGAAAGATAATTGCACACCAACTTTCTTATTATTTTGAAATTAGAAAAAGAAGACAAAAAATTCAACGACAAGAGTGAGGAGTGATAAGTTGAAGTGCCAACAAAACCGGATATTTTGAAGATTGCTTTCCACTAAGTAAAAACTGCCGGTTTTGGGAATGTATCAGCCATTGCCAAGCCAGCCATATACACACAACGTGCACACGTTCTTTATTGTTGTTTCCATTCGTTTGATTTGAGCAGCTAATGCTTAAATTTGTATTTGCTTAATTTATTGAAGTTATAAATGACAATTATCCTCCGACCAATGCATTCCCTTTCCTTGCATGATAAGTAGAGAGACTCTGATCATCTCTTCTTCCCGTCTGCCCCTTATTCATTGGGGCTCTAACAAATTCAATTCCTTTGCTTGAAAAATCCTTCCTTTCTTTGTTTTTCAACCGATTTTGAACCGCCCCAATCTGCAGTCAGGTAAGTATCTTTTTTCCCCCTTTCTTTTATTATTAATTCATCTACCGGTTCTGCATTTTTCTTTATTTTTGCAAAATTCTGGGTTTTCTTTTTCCACCATGAGTTTGTGTCGCATTCCTTTTCGTATCTTTATATCTGGGAACTTGGGATTCTTAAGGATCTTGTTTGGGTCTTTTATTCTTCACATTCAGGGATTTAAATTAAGGTTGCGGTTGTGTTTATCGCAAATGCTATTGTGGTGCGGATATCGCCTTTACCGCTATATAATGGCCTCTATTCCGATAGTAGACCGCTATTTAAATCCATGTCCACATTATCAATTAGTAATTGTTTTTGTTGTTGGGATTTTTGCATTGGGAATTTGCTCTGTCATGTTGAAATGATTCAGGTTGGTTGTTTCATATGAGAATGTAATGTTTCTTTGTGATCATAAAATCTTCATTTTAGCCTCAAAATTATTGGAAGGATACTGTTCTTTTTGGTAGTTTATTTCCAGTTGTTTTCATTGTCAAAGCCTCAAATGGCTCTATGGTGTCATGTTTTGGTATTGCTCCTAATTTGAACCTTATATGGCTCAGGTGTGTTTCCTAACATACTGCAGGGCCAGCTTCCGACGGTTGGCTTTTCTGGATTCTTGGCAGGGGGAGATTTGTTTAAATAGTAAATTTTTTATTGACGCTGATAGATTTCTGAGAAAAATGAAAGCAATGCAATTCGATTTCAAACACATGTTCCTCTTTTTGTTCTTCATTGTGGTATTGCTGGAATGCATTATAGCAGATGATCGAAGTGAAATTTTGCAAACGATAAGAGCTCCACACAGAATTCCAGGGAACTATGTTATAGATGGCACTGGTACATTGAGTCATAAGTTTTGAGGACATTATCAATGAAATGGGTGACTGGAAGAGGGTTTACGATAGGGTTTCCGTGTCCATGGTTGCATTGTTTACATTAGCAATGGCTGCAACAAGTGGTTTAGGTGCACTTCCATTTTTCTTTGTCGAGCTCGATCCTGAGTGGGCTGGCATATGCAACGGAATGGCTGCTGGTGTCATGTTGGCTGCAAGCTTTGATCTTATACGGGAAGGGAAGGAACATGGTGCTGGATCTTGGGTTGTGGTTGGGATTTTGGCTGGTGGCATTTTTATTTTGCTTTGTAAGAAGGTGATGTTTTGACTGTATCAGGTTTTATGTTTGATCGACTGTCATTGTAGAATTAGGTCATATACGCTCTCATAAAGAGCCTCTATTCTTTCCCTACCTTCAGTGCATATAGTAACTGAACTATGCATAACATGCAGATTAAGTTTTCCATTCAAACCTTGCAAATGAAAAACAAAATGGTTTTCCACTTTGTCAATGCCTATCACCGATCGGCGAGGATTGTTATTGGCTCGGCAGAGATTTAAGACTGTTGATGTTGCCTACTTTACACAATGCACACTTTTAACTTGTATTATCGTGGTGTCTTTGTCCTTGTAGGTAATTTTATTGTCTATAATTTTTCCCATGTTTTTGTGTTTCAGTTTCTAGAACACTATGGGGGAAGTAAGCGTGCTGGATATAAAAGGAGCAGATGCAACTAAAGCTTTTTTTGTCATTGGAATTATGACCCTCCATTCATATGGGGAGGGCTCTGGTGTCAGAGTTTCCTTTTCTGGCTCAAAAGGTTTTACACAAGGCCTTTTGGTGACTATGGCCATAGCGGTACATAATATACCAGAGGGATTGGCTGTGAGCATGGTGCTTGCATCAAGGGGTGTTTATGCTATGGAGTATAATTACTTCCTTACCGCAGGTATCTATCGTGTAATGCTGTTTGTCTGGCTTTTAGCATATCTGTATGTATCAAAGGAAAGAATTCTAAGCTAGAGTTTCCGCCAACAGTCTCAAAATGATTAGTAAGAAAAACTGGTGAAGTAGAAAAGTTAGTTAAAACTAAAGACCATTTAAAAAATTTCTTGGCAGCCCATTGTAGCTGTTCCTTCTTTCATATGTGCTGATGCATTTAATAAAGTCCTGCCCTTTTGTACTGGTTTCGCTGCCGGATGTATGATCTGGATGGTCGTTGCCGAGGTTCTCCCTGATGCATTTAAGGTGTGTGCTTATTGCAGTTAAAGTACTTTTTTGAATCTTCAAGAATAATGATTTTCCTTTCTCTCCAATCAAGAACATCTTGATTCAAATATCTGATGTCTAGACTGGTTCGTAATATAAAGAACTTCCCAAGCTATGCTAATCACTCCTTCCATCTGCTTTGGCTTCTCTTTTGTGCAAATCATAAAATGCTAGAGAAAAACTTTATTCGAACGTCAAAATGAAAATCAGAAGAGATAAATCTCGCTTGACCATTGTTTATGTTATTTTATTCTTTTAAGATTTCTTCTCTGTTCTAGAGACATGATATCTTCTTCCGATAGGAAGCTTCGCCAACTCATGTGGCATCAGCAGCTACACTTTCGTAGCATTCATGGAAGCACTAAGCATTTTGTTTCAGAACTTTAGCCGTGATTACAGGTGAGTTAACCGAACCATGGTTTGTTGAGAAGAATGTATGGCTATTTTTTATCCTAATCTTGCTGTAGTTATATATCCTTTTGTTTATTTCAAATGTCCAGTTCCGAGGATGCTTCTGGCTTCTTCGTTTCATTACTTTCCGGTCTTGGACCTTTACTTGGTGGCCTTGCTCTGGTTTCATTTGCTCTTGCTTTCCGCCTTAAGCATGCCCTTCTCATGGGAGCTGCATCCATTGTTGCCTTCGTCCTCGGTGCTTGGCGACCACTACAACTACTTGTTTCTTTGAAGATGGGATTCTTTCCGCTTATGTTACTGCTTACCCTAGGAGCTGTATTTGTCCATTTCTCGAGCTCTAGTATTTTGATGATTCTGTGACCCAAAAGAACTTACTCAAATAACCAACCAGCACTAGCAGGATCTGCAATGAGTGGTCTGACGCTTCACTCATTTTTAGTGGAGCAGTGACTTTCCATGAACTGGCTGAGGGGCTTGCACTAGGAGTAACTGCACCAAAAGCTTATGGACTAGGTAGGCACATGGTCCTTCCCGTCTCCCTTCACGGGCTTCCTCGCGGTGCGGCAGTAGCCAGCTGTGTATTCAGAGCTACTGACAGTTGGCATGGCTCTCTTGTAGCGGCTTCTCTTATCGGGTTTGTAGTCCCGATATCTGCTATAGGATCGATATTGGCGGGAATCGACTAGAATGGTCTGGACCATGTGATGTTGTTGGCCTGTGGATGATTACTCCCATGCTTTGTTAGAATAGTGGAAAGAGCAGTGAGTTTAGACATGCGGAAAAGCATATGTGGGGTTGTTGTAGGTGTTGATTCTGCTACTCTGTGTTTAGCATGCACCAAGTACTTGATATCTGTGTTGATTCTGCTCCAGAGGCTATCAGATAGATATGATTTACGTTCAATAGGATATCTGTTCTGTTGTGCAAATAATACCACAATTTTAACTCAAAGGAGGGAATACAGATTTGCTTTCATTTCACTTGAAAACACTCATTTTTCTTCAGATTGTTTAAGTGTCAGATTGATTGTTCATACAAGGTTTTCCATTGAAAATTTGGTTTGTAGCATTTAGGGAATAAAAAGTAGGGTTTTTTTTCATGAGACGAGACAGATCGCAAGTTACTTGATATCGACTTGGTTAAAGCTCGGTCAACTCTCGAATCGAATAGATTCGACTCGAGTTCAAACTCATCTCGAATTCATAACGAACCGAATACTTGATACCCGACTCAAAAAGCTCGTGAGTAACTCGAAAAAATAATATATTAAAAATTTTAATTAAATGATTATTAATATTAACATTGATATGTTGTTTTTTTAAATACAATATAAGGCTTTTATATACTTCAGGTTTAGTATAAAGTTCGAGTTCGAGTTTCAATCAAGTTAAATTTAAGAATATTTCGAGTTCAAGTTTTTTCAAGCTTGAGTCGATTTTAAATTTTTGATTTGGAGTTGAACTTGAAAATTTTAAGCTTATGAATTTTCGACTCAAGCCTTGCTTCAATCTTTTATTTCAAGTTCAAGTCGAATTTAATAATTTTAAACTCGTAAGTTTTTTAATCGAGTTAAACTTCGTTTTTATAATTTTTGTGTTGATTTGAACTTTAACACTACTTAAACTCGATTCATCTCGTTTACACCGTTAAATTATCTAAAAGAAAACCCAACCGAACAAGCTCATAACCGCTACATGAGAGGAATGTGAGCGCTGTTTTTGTCTTGTAACGGCAGTCTATAAACTTGTCCGCTTCTAGGCTTAGGCGCCAACTTGCATGATTATTTGCACTTCGCAATTGCAACCCACTAAATAATTGGTTATTTGATTTAAGTAAGAGGTAAGTTACTCAAGTTTAATTCAATTATAATTTGTTTCATATTCAGTTTGAACGGGTTCTATTCTGAATTTTAACGAGTTAAAATAAATTATTTAATACTCGATTTTAAAAACTCATAAGCAATTAAAAAATAAAATATAAAATTTAGATTTTGTAAATTAAATTAATAATAATATTAGCATTCATGTTTAATATTAACATTTAGTACCTAAACTTTATTTTTTTTAAAATCATACTTAATGTTTAGTTTATGTTTCAATTTGGTACAACATTAAAAATTTAACGGCATCGATGACATGCAATTTATATTACAAGATGCGTGGAATATTGGGAAACGAAAAATAATTCCACATCATTATTGTGGCTAATTTTTTAACGATAGAGTACCAAATTGAAACTTAAACTAAACATTAAATATAATTTTAAAAAGTTAAAGTTTAGATACTAAAACAAAACAAAATTAAAAATTTAGGCACTAAACATGTAATTTACTCTAATATTTAGATGTTTTTCAAAAGTATACTATAAAGAGTTCAAACTTTAATCGAAGTCTCGAAAATTTTGAAGTAGAAACTTTTTGAGTTCAAATCCAACTTTGAATTTGAGTCGAACTTAAACTCATAAACATTTAAATATGAATCAAATTCAGCTTTAAATTTTTGAAATGGAACTCTCATTTAGAGATTATGATTAACCTAAGTTGGCAAGGTAAAAAAAAGTTGAGAAATTACATTGGAGGCGATCTCAACCTGCCGTGAGACATGGTGGATCTTATTAAAACTACTCCTGCAACTACTCAAGACAACAACAATAAACCCAAACATAAAATCACTTTGAAGTCGACTGATTACTGCTCTCCAAATTGTCACCACCCACCAACTTCTCCTTCTCGGCGGCAACAGCTCCGATCTCCGCCGACGCTGGCTTCTCCGCCACACTCTGCGAGCCTGTCATCCTTGCCAATATCACAAACGACATCCCTCCGATCACGTTATTTAAGCATCTCAAAACCACCACGGACGACTTAAACACCACGGGTGGAACTCCCTTTTCCAACAGAAACTCGATCCCATTCAAGGTTTGATACCTCAAATTGCTGCTGACGCCCATGTGGGAGGCCCAGGTAACGGCATTCAACAACGTCGGGGGAGGTTTGTTGGGCGTTTCGAAAGTGGGATCCATTTTCTTCCTCAGCTTGATCAACCCGTTTGAGATGGCAGTCCCCACGAGGCCTGCACCGAATCCAACGGCGGCAAACAAGACCCCTTTGAACACTGCCGTCCCTAAACGGTTCATTAAGGTATAACCACCGGGTTCGAACATGTGACTCTGCGGACAATTTGCAAAGATGGAAGGAAGACTCGAAGATGAAGCCGAGGCCCTCGGTGCTAGGAGATACATGATGGTGAAATTCATAATGGAGCCGACCACTAGCGTAGAGAAAACGAAGTCAAGCTCATTTAGACCGAAATTAGGCCGTGAAGCCATGTCGCCGAGGACACAAGCAGTGACACCCACCAACTCCTCCATTAAGACCTTGAACGGGAACTGCGGATCCGCCGCGACCCTGTCTCGCCATCCACTTAATAAAAGACCCAGAAAGCCAAAACCATCCGACGATCGATCCTCGGACTCGGAACCATCGCCATCTCCTCTACCACCTCCTCCGCCTCCTGTGCGACCAACACCATCGTTCCCATCACCTCCTCCGATCGCGCGTAAAAAGTAGAATTTGGAGAGAGAGAGCTTGGTATGGTTAGAAGGGATAGGTTGATTTAAAGGGAAGGAAACAACGTCGGGTGATGGTGGATGGAGAAGGCAGGTGTGGGTGATGTTAGGTGATGATGGGGTGGTGAGCATCGAGAAACGGTGCCGAGATATGGCCGCCATCTGATGCATGGATCCAGTAATCTGATCTGATCACTCGAACTGGAGTCCTAGGAAGGTAATATAACAAATATTTGCAGAGGGAGGCAGATCAACTGCGGAAAGGGAAAGGTTTGGAGGAATGTGATGAAATGAGAATTTATACAGAGAGAGAATCAGAGTGTGCTCTTAAGCCTAAACACAAACAAAACAACGCAACAAACCCTAAAGGGTCCAATCTGTTTTTCTTTTTCCCATGGCGACGGCCCAACCATAACTATATTCCTTTCTCCACCTCCTTCAATTATAACGTTTTCCCATTATTCTAATTATTTATTGCTAAAATGCCAAAATTAGCCCCCACATTTACTAAAATAGTTATTTTGCCCCACACTCTTTTTTTTAGAGCATTTTGCCTTCGAACATTTTATTTTGAGGAAAAAAAGCTCGTACATTGATGAAAACCGTTTGTTAACAAATGATTAACACTCCAAATAGGGTATTTTTACTCTAAAATGAAACATTGAGGGCAAATATGTTCCAAAAAAATAAGGGTCAAAGTGACTATTAAATGAAACATTAGGGGGCCTTTTTATTACCCTAAAATGGAATATTAGGGACCAAAATGCTCCAAAAGAAAATAATATGGGCTAAAATGACCAATTTGATAAATGTTGGGAGCTAATTTTTGCATTATGCCTTATTTGTTTTAGGGTAAACTATGTGTTTAATCATTGAAATATTACTTTTATTCCATTTTACTCACCCCATTATTTTTTAAACCATCACTATCGTTACATTTTGATTCCATTTCAATCACTCGCTGTTAAAAATTTAACAGAACTACTGATGTGGTATATTTTTTTTATTTTTCAATAATGACGTGAGATTACCTTATGGTGACACATCAACATCACCATTAATTCTTAACGACGGGTAACCAAAATGAAATCAAATTGAAATGTTAGTGATGATTTTGAAAAAATAGTTGGGTGATCAAAACGGAATAAAAGTGATAGTTACGTGATTAAATACATAGTTTATCCGTATTTTTAATTATTATTATTATTAGATTATGATTAAAAAACTGTTTTGGGGGCCAAGCCTTCCTAACCCGCCTTTGGGGCCAAACCTTCAAAATATATGACTTGTCACTCAAATGTAAGGTCTTGAAGATATAAAATAGTTTCTTACCTTGAGGGTGAGGAGTTGCTAACTCTAGGTGCTATGAAGAATGCTTCCAAGGTTTGTGGAATGAGAGAAAATAAATAGAGAAGTTCAAGAGTTGGTGGCGAAAATATGGGGTCTGCGAAAATATGGGGTCTGTCCCCTATACATGAAAGGTGACCTGATAGAAACACCTCAAAATTAGCTTTGAAAATATCCAAGGGGTTATTCACACTCTTGATTTCTTAAAATGCCATCCCCTCTTTTAAACCCCAAATGGGCCCAATTGAGGCTCAACAAACCCCAATGATCCAATTAAATTTATATTCAGCCCAAATTTACTCTCGGTCAACTCCCGAACATTGACTCAAGATTTTTGGGTCGTTACATAAACCTTCGTACAACAATTTGGATTGGTTTGTCTTTGAACCAAGTCTGGATTCATTAGCTTAGTTATTCACACTAAATATTTTTTATATTCACTAGATTTTTGTATCTTCAAGGACAAGGTGTAACCTTACGAATTCTCTCAAGATTTATATCTCAAAATCTTAATTACACTCTCTCTCAAAGAGTAATTGTAACACTCCAACCTGTACCCAGATACGAGACTGAGATGTCACATTGACTTTTTAAAATAATATTATTACAAAATAACAAAACGTTTGAACTTATATTAAGAAAATACGATAATATACCGTTGAATTATGTTTGTTATAACAAAGTTAAGGAAAAATATGTTTTTATGAACAGTAATATACGGTATGAACAATATTGTGAACAGTAATGAACAGAACAGTGTCATGAACAGTAATTTCGTCCACTTATATAAAACTCATAAAATTTAAACTTCCATTACTATAAATTTACCATTTACATAAATATGTTTAAAACATTCCAAAACTCGATCAGAGCACATATAATTAATTTAATGACTTTGTTTACATGCCAAACTATTTATCACATAATAATACATACTATTTAAGTTTCTTCTGATCTGGTAGTTGTAGAAGTAATGTTGTCCCAGCTGTCTAACCTTGCTTGTCTATCTTCTTAGATCCTACGTGTGAAACACTCAGACGCTAAGGCATCGACTTAGTAAGGCATAATAATAATGACAATGAAATATAATGATAATGTCGTCATGAGATGAAGTGTGACAAAATTACATATTTAATCCTTGCAAGTTACATAACCATATATCTTACCTGTAATCTCATCAAATTAACCATCATGAATTCATATAATAAGTTCAATGGCCCATGATATAATACTGAGAACCTGAGGTATGTGAGTATTGTGAGGTTGTGCATTATGTTGTCACCACAGCTCGTATAAATTTAAACCGAAGTGCAACGTAGAATTTGTCATGAAGGACCGCGTAGAAATGCACCGTAGTGCCATATAAGATTTGTCCATAAGGACCACATAAAAATTCCTTAAGAATCATATACATATACCAATGATCAAGTAGGTGTCTCAAAAGACCTCATACATGTTTCAAAGAATACGTATATGTCCCGAAAGACCACGTAGAATTGTCCCGAATGACCGCGTAGACCCTCTACTCTTGGCATGCTAACTATACCTATAGTTCTCATCTACATAACATGGGTTTTTATAGTTCACATAGTTTATATCGCGTAGACATATAACTTATTACCTTATCACATGGCTCATATAAACTTTTCATACATATTCACTTAGATCATTTTCACATAATGCATATAATATGAATTCATGTCATGTATCATAATATGAAATGTAATCATGTACCAATGATATTGGAACTAGACTTATCACAAGTCTAGAGTTTAATAGGCTATGATAACCATGCTATGCATATGCACTCACCTATATTTCCTTGCCTTTCCCTCGATCAATCTTACTTGCCAATTGTTCTGGAACTCGTTTAAGCTCTGTATCTACAGAAATATAATTTTCAAGATGATTATCAGAAGCCTAAACCTTATACTTCGATACCATTAACTTAAACAAATTTAATGAATCAATATTCAATTTTTCCTTTAGGGGGTATCGATACACCCTTTGAGGTATCGGTACCCTTACTGCATTCTGTTATTTTTCGTTCAAGAGGGTATCGGTACACATACATAGGGTATCGATACACTCTGCTCAAAACATGCTTTTTCACCCCGAAAATTCATCTACACTTCACCCAATTTTTCATGTATACAACCCTTATTATGCTATTAAACTCATCTATAACAACTTTAACTAATTTCTATCATTCTAACACTTTATAATCTCTCATATTTCATCCAAATTCTTAAAGCTAAGAATCATACCAAATTTTCCATGTTATTCAAACTTAATTCTAACGCTAATAACTTCTTATTCTCATAGATGACAAGTCAAATTCAACTTTCAAATTCATTTAAACCCTCTTATTCAAAATTTCACTTATCCACTTCTTATCTTTAATCCTTAATAACTTACAAATCTTTGAGTTTCTATAACCCTTTTCATCTCCATCATGTTTCCTAAGTCTTCCTTAACCAAAACCATACTTAAATTTTAAGGATTAACCAAAAGAAATCCAACTTACCTTGGCTTGGTTGCTTCACGTTAGAGAAGAGATGAAGATGAGAAACATCTGGAACTATGTTTCCCCAATTATACTTCACGTGTGTTTATAAAATACCCACCATAATTATTTAATTATTACCCCTTGTTCAATGACCCTTTTACTCTTCCTTTATTTATTAATTCATCCTACACCAACATCTTTCAATTAATTCCTTCACTTTTCAATTTATCTAATCTGATCATTGAATTTTTAAAATTTCACACTTTGGTCACTAACCCTGTATTAAGGATGTTACAGTAATTACAAATTTAGCAACAAAAAAATCACAATAATGAGAAGTAAGCACATGTTGTACTCTTTTTCTCTTAATCAAGGTTTTATCCCTATAGATTTTTCTGATAAATTTTTTAATGAGATAACATAATATACAAATTAAAATATATTGTATTTTTCTCTTAACCAAGGTCATGTACGAGGTTATAATAAACAAACAAAAAATACCATCCTCTCCGATCATATTTAGATAATATCGTGAGTCAGATTGAGTTTGGTTTCCGATCAACCTGACTTTGACTCAAATAGTATACCCCTTTACCCTCCACCTGACTTATCCTGACTCAAGTTTAATGAGGTTACAAATGCCTCAAACTCGACCCACACAAATAATATTTCCTTAGTTTTATTAAAAAAAAGAGATAATTAATATTTATTCAGGAAAACTATAATAATTATCTCTAAATATATATAGAGAAATTATAATATTATCTTGGGTTAGGTTAGGAATTTTCATCCTAATCCTAAATCTGACCCAACTTAATAATTCACAAAATCTTATCTTGATTTTTTTTTTTAAATTATATCAAAACAGATCGAAATTCATCGAATTCGAATAATTTAACCATCTCACTCGTATTGTGTTATATATTCCTCTCTTATCTATCTAATTCTTATATAACCATTCTATAATTTTATAACAAAAATTAGTACTATTAAAAAAATGATAATTCATTCTCAACTTCCTAACACAAAATTCACATGTCAATACCGACACAGAGTTAATAAATACTTTAGATGCGGAGAGCTAATATATTGTTTATAGTCATAAACATGTGGGGATTAATATTAAAAAAATGGGGAATTTAATAGGGAATGAACTATAATATTTACTTAGAACTCTGTGACAAACTCTGGGTTTAGTTAATTTCGACGTAAAAAACTAGGCGAGTTTAAGAAATGTTCGTTTGTGCGGGGAAATTGCATATAGAAATTATTATTATATTTTAATTTCAAAAGAAGTCGAATGGTTCTAGATTAGATTTGTTGAGTTTGATACATTTCTTTGATGAAACATATATTAAATTCGCATTCAAGATATAGAAAATGAGTGAATTGAATATTTTGGGGTTCACCGATCGACAAAAGTTGATGTTGATTGATACTGACAAAAGACGACAGTGGTTAGCGGTGATCGGCAATGTGAGGCTTTGGTTGAATTTAGGAGTCAATTTGATATTTTATCTAAAACGTAAAGGTCAAAAAAGATATTTCATCTAAAATTCAAGGTCAAATTAATATTAAGTCCAAAGTTCACGGGTAAAATTAATAATTAATCTATTTTGATTAACATGTTATATCGTCAAACTAATAAGATTTAACGACTCAATGACTAAAATGTAATAATCGATAACGTAAATTATTAAAATTTAATAAATAGATAACGTAAGTAGTCAAATCTTAATATTTTAAAATTTTGATGACCAAAATATACCAATATAGAAAAAGGTGATCAATGTAATAATTAAACCAAGAAAATAGAATCCTGTTTTTGAGTAGAATTCCGTAAATAAATGTGTGGCGATGATACATCAAGTTGAACGTAGCAAGTGGAGAAATCGCGTGAGGCACTTAAATTAATGTAGGTCTGAATTTTCCACCCAACGAACCAATAACAAGCGAGACCCCCAATGCTTCCTTCCTTCCTTTTTACCCTTTTTGTTTTAGTCAAACAATTATTTCAAAATTGAACCCGTAACTTGAAGACTTTATTTTGTAGACCGGGTAAAGGGCCTAGATAGTAGACTTTAAAATTAGGGTAAAATACATAAATGATTTATTGATTATATGACACTATTTTATTGAGTCTCTCGATTATTAAAAGTCACAAAATGATTTCTTGACTATAGATTGTTGATTTGTCGAGTCCTTCGACTATTAAAAGTAACAAGATGGTCACTCGACAATTCATATATTTTAAACTCGTCCTTTTTCGTTAAAAAAATAACAACCGTTTAAGATTGACGTTAACTTGCTAATTGGGATATGGTAAAATTTGATCCCTGAATCATTTGAATTGTATAATCGTTTGAGATTTTGGGATAAGATGTTATCATGTCTCGATTAATAGGTTAACATACAACTCAGACGACCATCAACGTTTAATAGAAAATGACAAGTTTGAAACATATGAATAGTCAGGTGATCATTTTGTAATTTTTAATAGTTGAGGGACTCAACAAAGTAGTATCCTATAATCGGGGATCATTTTGTAACTTTAATAATTGAGGGACTCAATAAAACAATGCATATAGTTGAGGGACCATTTGTGTACTTTACCAAAATAAGGTTCCAGTGGCTGGCTGAACACGATGGCTGCCAAAAAGCCGTTTGAATATATACATATATCCCTTACAGCTCCGTTATATGTTAGTGTGGGACAAAAAAAGTATTATAGTAGCAGCCAGGGCCATTACCATCGCTAGCCATCCTATTTAGCCATCGCCATTGTTGCTGCCGATAGCATCAACAATTAATAAGAAAAAAGGGCCATAAATGGAAGTAGCAGCATGCAAACGCAGCTTGAGTAGAAGGGCCTCCTCCTCATCGTTTCGTCTACGGTCCCCCAGCCTCAACTCGGTCCGTTTGCGACGCGTATTCGACATCTTCGACAAGAATCACGATGGCATGATCACTGTCCAAGAGATCCATCATGCCCTTGCTCGTTTAGGCCTTGAAACAGATCTCTGCCACCTAGAGTCAACCATCGAATCGTTTATAAATCCCGCAAACATTGGCCTCACCTACGATGGGTTCGTTGCTTTGCATCAGTCGTTGGACCAAACTTTCTTCGGGTTAGACTTGGAGGAGGAAGATGAGTCGGATTTGACGGAGGCGTTTAAGGTGTTCGACGAGGACGGGGACGGTTTCATTTCGGCGCAGGAATTGCAGGCGGTGTTGTGGAAACTGGGGTTGCCGGAAGGAAAAGAGATTGGTAGAGTTGAGCAGATGATCTGTTCCGTTGACCAAAACCATGATGGCCGTGTCGATTTCTTCGAGTTCAAACACATGATGCAGAGCGTTCTGGTCCGCACCTCTTGATCGTCCTCCAGTTTCGATCCTATATTGTTTTGTTAGTCTTTTGACTATTAAAAGTTATAATGGTTTCTGACTATTCATTATGTTTCAAATTAACGGTTGTCTGAGTTGGACATTAACTTATTGACTGAAATATGATTGTCGTTTGAGATTATGAGATAAAATTTTGTCATATCTCAGTCAACAGGTTAACGTTCAGCTCAAACTATAGTTAATTTTTAACGAAAAATGACAAGTTTCAAACATAATGGATAGTCGAATGACCATTTTGTAAATTTTAATAATCAAATGACTTAATAAAATAATAATTTATAATATAATGACTTATATATGTATGCTTATACAAACTTGCAATGTTGCTCCCAATGTTACTCATAACGTTGTAACACTCCGTGAACACCTTCAATGTTGTAACAAGTTTTATGCATAGAAAAAGAAATAAACAAATTTAAAAATGAAAAATGTGAACAGATACTACAACCATTTTAATTGTTACAAGTTCTATGTTTAGAACACTACACATGGCAGCTCCCTAGGCCTAGCATCTCAACTCAAATCGTTGCAACTTAATTTATATACCCACACAAAGCAGAAGGCAAAAACTTGTTTTTGGACCATTTTAATTTCTCTATTTTAAATAAAAAACAAATTTATATTGATGTGATTGGTTAAAAAGGGAGGGGAAGTTGGTTAACGCAAAAGGAAACAAAGAATATTTTGGCAGTTCAATTCACCACTAATTAAACAAGAGAGGAGGAGGAGGAGGAGGAGAAGATTGAAATGGCATATAGGAGAAGGCATGCATTATGCAAATCGGCGACGTTCAAGGAGGAGATCGACCACTCACCTGTAGCTGCTGACAACGATGACAACGTCAAAGCCAAAACATTAACCCCTTCCCATTCTTTCTCTGCTACATCTAAGGTGCATACCCTTTTTATCATATCAGATCAGATGAGAAACCCTTTTTATCTTTTGAATCATTTCATTTCATTTAACCATATATTTTGACGAGAAAAGATCTGCTTTGGCTTTTGTTTTCTTCTTGTCTAATTCCTTGTTGAGATGCTTTATTGTAGGGGTTTAATGCCTTGGAAGATTCAAGAAATGAATCCAAAGGGTTCTGGGGTGTTCTTGCTCGAAAAGCTAAAGCCATTCTCGAGGAAGACGATAACTTCTCCGAGCCTTACGAAAATGAAACACCTCGCGGTGTGGGATCGTCGCCTCTGTTGGATGCCTCGACAACTTTCCATGGCCAGGTGACTCGTTTTAATTCTTTGTTGGTTGGGGCCTAGACACCTTATCATTATGGATCTTACACTTCAATTGTTTCTATATACCCATGTTTGATGTCAATAGCAGAACCAACAGGCAACTGAGGGCCTTGGAAGAATAGAAAGTCCTCGAATACGAAGGGGCTCGGATAAGCTCAACACTTCTCTTAATCACATTGGTGACACATTTGAGAAGGTGTTTGAGGTGAGAGCATCTGAACTTGAGGGCTACAATCCTCTTATGAGTTTCTTTTATTGCTTTTCACCTACTCTTAATTAGTGAACAAACTGAATGCTACATTGCAGGATGGTCGAACCATAGTGGGAAGTAAAACCCATGATATCATCCAAGAAACGCGCAATCTTAAAATCAGGCGGAAAGGGAGCAGTCCCAAGGCAGAAAATCAGGTTCATGGTCTGAATAGCACATTGCAGCAACCGACACAACTCCGGATTCAAACCAACAATCAAAACCAGATCAAGGCATCTCGCGACGTATGGGGGCAAAACTTGTGTGTCTCATTGAATCATATTGCGAAAGCATCGATTTGAGTACATGTTTAGGTCATTCATGTTTCCATAACAAAATTAGATGTAGGTTGCATTATAGGAGATTGCATTATGATTGAAACTCTGGTAGATTACATATGAGACGATTAAGATATCGGCTTCACAGGTTGCCATGGCCACAGCAGCAAAAGCAAAACTGCTTCTCCGGGAGCTAAAATCTGTTAAAGCAGATTTGGCATTCGCAAAGGAACGATGTGCTCAACTAGAAGAGGAAAACAAGATTCTTCGGGAGTGTAGGGAGAAAGGGGATAATCCTGCAGATGATGATTTGGTACACACATGTATACATACACCTTTCCTATGGAATGCACAACTAATTAACTACGTTTTGAATGTATGATGATCGTGTCAGATTCGGTTCCAACTAGAGAGTCTGTTGGCAGAAAAGGGACGTTTGGCGCATGAGAACTCGATATATGCAAGAGAGAACCGGTTTCTAAGGGAAGTAGTGCAGTATCACCAACTGAGCATGCAGGACCTAATGTACTTAGATGAGGGAGTTGAACAAGTTACAGAAGTTGGATATCCCTTTAATTTCCCTTACTCAAACATGCTCTGTGAATCCCCGACGTCGCTGTCCGAGGTGGCGGAGGTCAGCCCTCCAACTTTGGCATCTACAAGTACAAAGGAGGGGATCTTGAATATCACTAGTCCACCACTGGAAGCAGATGATGCGGCCAACTCAGCAACTGATCCTATCCCATCTAATCATGGAAGAGAAACAACACCTTCGGTATCTTCTGTCCTTATTTAGTTTTTTACCTTTATATTTTGTCAAGTCACTTTTGTAGCATGTCTTTGATTTCAACTCTTCTTTTGTCTTATTGCTAACAACGCCATCGCTTAGTGGTAAGTTCCATTGTGCATACTCTTAAAACGCTTTTGGTCATGATTAAATAAGAAAATTAAACTCTTCAGTCGTCAATTTTTTATTTACTTTTGTATCGTTATCAGTTTTTGCACGAAGAACCTCGATATTATTAAACTACTTTAAGATATCACAAGAGTTATTCAGTCATTTCTTCCGTTTGGCTACAGTCTCTCAACATGACCGCTGCCATTCTCGTCACAAACTAAATCTATCATCTCACAGTCAAATATACTCACCAATAACCATCATTCCTATAACTAACACCAATAACTCTACTTCCTGGTTTCAGGGACATATACTCGTACATACAAGTCTGATGGGAAAAGTTTCAACCTTACACTCTTTATTTATCTTATTCTACAACACTACCGTCAATTATAATTCTCCACTCAATTTAAATAAGATAACCTCTTTCCGATTTTGCTTTGATATAAATCCTAGCAAACAGCCTTTACAAGTTTAAAATCTGGGATAATTTTAAGATTTTATATTTAATTATAATTTATAAAAATTTGTATTATTTAAATTTAAGGGTAAAATATACAAATTGTTCTCCGATTATAGGATATTGTTTTGTTGAGTCCCCTGACTATTAACAGTTACAAAATGATCTCTTGACTATAGGATATTATTTTGCTAAGTTATATAACAATTAAAAGTTACAAAATGGTCACTCGACTATTGATATGTTCCAAACTCGTCATTTTCAATTAAAAAAATGATAGTTGTATGAGCTTCTTGTTAAACTATTGATTGAGATATGAAAAAAAATCATATTTTTATGATGTGTACTGACACCGTCGTTGCTTTCAAGTACTGGTTTGACAACATAGTGTTTCAAGCATTGACTCGACGACATAACATAAACAGAGAGTCGATCCAAAAAATACAATTCAAACGATTCTGAGATCAAATTTTATCATATCCAATTAACAAATTAACGTCAAGCTCTGACAAACATCAACTTTTTTAACGAAAAATGACAAATTTAAAACATATGAATAGTTTGAAAAAGGATAATGAGAAAGAGAGTTCAAGACTAAGAAGATTCCATCTTTGCGTGATACAGAGTTTATACTTGCTCCTTATGTGTGTTGGCATTGGGCTTAAGATTGTGATTGCTATCCGTAAACCAACAGAGTATATAAATGCAGTAGATTTGTTCCTAACAAATACAAATCTTAACAAATATCCGTAAACCAGGTGGCAGGAATATTACCTTCATGTAATTGAGAGAAGAAAAAGTAATTAATTGACAAAATCAAAACAAATAGAAAATCCAAATCTGAAGGACAATGATGTCCTTGAAAATAAAATCCAAAATCAAATCGGCAGCCTTCTACCTGTATAAAACTCATTATTTGTCTGTTGGGAGCAGATAAAAAAACCTCTTCCTAACACTATCTGCATCTGCAACCTGTTATCCAACAATCACTTCCAAAAACTCTTAACCCATCTTGCCCCCACCAAGCTGTGCACACCTCAAGGTTGAGCAAAATACTTTTATTTTACCCCCCCCCCCCAAAAAAAACAATAAAAAAATGAAAAAATAAACATCAGAAAATGCACACATCAAGCTCAAGATCATCATGGCTACACTTTTGTGCCATCTAATTCCTTCAAAGTTCTAGCTCCATGTCAAAATTTTCACCTCTTAGGTCCTTGAGCTCCCAATTTTCCAAGGATCCAAAGACTCGACCTCAGCGCCAACTTGCTATCGATTTACATTGCACTCACTCAGATATTGATCATCATGGCTCAGAAACTTCTTCCAGTACGCCTTGTATTTTGGAATTCCCAGCTCAAGCCAAGGTTTCATATTTCCATTGTAGTGCAACACTGCAGCTTTCTTGATGCCTTCGATATCAAGTCCATAGTCATGACCAAGGCCCGATACAACCCACCTGCTGTCAAGAGGATATATTTGGTCCTGAAAAGTAAGCAAGCTTGCAAGCAAAGCCGAACCCTCTTTCATGCTGACCTGCAGTTCGCATATGAAAAGAAGTCAAAATCAGCAATACCTAATTTCTAAATTCTAATGGCATGAAAAACTGTTCATGCACTAACATATAAACACAAATACTAGATGTATTCAAGTTGGAGGTTAACTTCATACTATGTAATGTAATTAATGTCATTTTTAACCAGAGTTTTGCACACTAATCAAACTGAGATTAAATATTATCCATCATCAGAGCATTAACCCACCTCTTTCACCAACTTCCAGTAAGTTTTAGAGATGTGTAGGTCTCTCCACCTGGCCAGATCAATTACATTCAATCCTGACATCCAAGAACACGAATCTTTTTTGAATCTGTGTTCATCCAAATAACTCCGCAGCTGATGCATTCTCACCGAGCAAGTTTGTACAGCACCAATCACTTTCCCTCCCATGTTGAGGCTCCATAGTGCTGACAAGTCTTTCTGAACAACAACATCCTCATCCAGAACCACAACTTTCTCCAAGTTTCTGAATATCTTAGGAAGAAGATAATGAAAATGAGAAAAAGTAGATACATGATTATGTATTACTGGTGCATTATCCTTGGTGTGAAAGGAAACTCGAAACTCTACAGGTAATGTCAGGTGAGATAGAGTTGCTTTATCATAATAATCTGGATTAAGATCTTCAATATTCAACACCTGAACAACAGCATCCTTGAAAGTATTCTTGAGGTACCAAAGTTTCATTGCATAGTAATTCTGTCCATCAGTTAGCACATGAAAAACCTGGTTTAAACTGTCCTGAAATATATAGGATAACCAGTCAGTGTTACTAGTAGAACTTGGGTATTAAACAATAAAATGACGTCAAAGAATAACTAAACCATACTTTTGCATGCATAACAGTTGAGTTTACTACAACTGATGATGCAATGACATTATTGGAGAATAGAACATAATGTCGCAATGTAGGATCAGAATATTTCTCAGACAGCTCCTTATCAAATGAATGGTCTCTGAAATATTCCACAGTTAGCCTCATAGACAGGCAGTGCAGGCTCTTGGGAATTGTCTGGACTGCAAGTTGATACAGAAAGGCACCCTGCTTCATGTGGAAGTTAGCTTCATCCTCGGTCAAGTCAAATATTTGTCTCAATTTCTTGTCAACATTATTACAATCCGAAGTAACTGATTTGGCCTTTGCTATTGCAGCTTCCATCCTTTGTGACTTCTTCTGAATCCTGATACAAAGCAGTAACAAACACTTGGTTATGCAAAAAATAGGAATATTATCTCTAGCTAAAAGAACAGAGGCATCTGTGTCTATTACTCATATGACAAGTCTACTAAAATTGCTTGACCAAAGCACACAGCATTCACCAAGATGTTGAACCCACCATGTGATATCTTTAGGATCTAGAATTAGTAAATAATAAGTTTAACAGAAAGTTCAAGTCATACTGCTCGTCAGAGCAGCTAGACTCAGTACTAAGCATAAGAATCTTGCTCCAGTCTACTCAGGTTATATAAAGTGATCAGGAACACTTAGGAGAGCTATTTAAAAACCATACAGGCAAATGTCATAGCTCTACCAGATGCAGCACATTAAAATATCAGGTGAAAGATATCATCCAACACAGCATGAAGGGAAAATACACAAATAGATCGGAGTGCAAAAGGAAAACCGTCCATATATTATATTTGTTCCAAATTGTATGTTCAGTTTTACCATTTTAGTATGTTTCAATATATTGTCCACTTCCCCCAACTAGAATACGTTTTTCCAAAGTTTCCGTCACTGAAATGCTAACTTAACATGGCAACTCTAGCTTTAATGACACTTGAAGGAAAAATTTTGGAAAGTATGGAACAAAATACACTTTTCCTAAAGCTCCAAGCCATAGTGGACATTCAATTTGAAACAGAGGAAGAACAAAATTTGTATGCAAACTAACATTTCTAGTTAGTAAATAGAACAGTAATCTCATGCTATAAACCTGTGAACTTTGCCTTATCCATGGAATTATATTATGTCATAACTTACTCTCGAGGAAGATCAACATCTGTTGTAATTTCACTAAGGACACGCTCAAATTCTTGAATATTTTGTTTCAGTTCAACAGACAACTTGTTCTGGGTTGGCATTTTTGCAACACTAGGAAAATATGCCCTAGCCACAAAAAGTTGATCCTTCAATTTCTTCACCATGGAATCTTGCATTGCTTCCACATTTTCTTCATGCCAAATGCAGTAGCTCCCATATTTCAACTCACATAATCCCCCACTTTCATCAGGACCAGCCTTTGTTCTTGCTTTCCCATTAACGTTACTAGTCTGCAAGAGAGAAATTATCTAGAGATGTTATATTATAGGCACTAAAATGTTATACTAAATAGCTATAACAAACTTCTCAGCTATATGCTTACATTTTTTCCGGTAACTGGTTGCATAACAACTTGAGGCGGAATTGGAATGCCTGTAGAACATTTTAAAAAAGTGGGTTCAAACCTAACTCTAATAAAAAGGCATGGAAAATTATCTGGGACACAGTTTAAAAATACGAGTTCAACCATGCCTTTTTGCTGCTGAAATTTGGGTGTGGCATTTCTACTGCTAGTTTCATTTTTAGCTTCATTTACATGTCCTCTAAGAATATCCTGAAAAAAGAAGAAAACAGGTTAAATTACAGTGTTTATTCACTATCTGCATACAAAGTTGGGGTATTCACAATAGATTACAAATGAATGAACATCATATAATAGACAGAGATACAACTACAAGTCTACAAGCATGTGTTCATCCACGAGAAACTCAAATTACGTGGGTCTTTGTAAATTTAGGATATAGCCATAAGCTTTCGTACAATACCAAGACAATACACTAGCAAAGCTAGACAATATAGTTAGGCCATATTTTCTATTTCCCCTCAACAGATACATGGAAAAAACTACTACTAGCCCTTTCAATTTCTCGAAAACATGAGAATATTTTTTCCTTTAAAAATATTGAAAGGAAAGACTAAAAGGAAGAGGAAGACAAAAAGTCGGCATTTTGGCCCTCTAAAGGTAACTAATGGAAGCAAAGTATGGAACCTATCTCCAACACTATATGCCAAATATAGTTTTGCTCATTACCACCACTTCAATTAAAAGCACAAAATTTGTGTAGGGCCTGACCTAAATTATTAGGTCCTAAGCATAAGCAAGACTGAGAAAAAAATTGGTAGAGAAACTAATTTTGAGCCTGAGAAATTTCTAATAAATGAAGACTTCAAAAATACCATGACTGATTATAAGAACTATTACTTTAAAACAACTGCATGACAGTATAACATCTTTCACCTTCATTGGCACCCTAATTTTCCCAAATAGAAAACCAAACATAATATTATTCTATTTTAAAATATGACTAACTTAACTTCTTACACAGTTGAAAAGATTAGTTCGTTTTAATATTTGAATGCACTACTAAAATGCCAATAAGGAGGTGAAAAGAAAGTTCTTATCCTACCAAGCCATGTCTATCTCCAAAAACCTAAACAAAAATTTTCCTCGATTTTCCAGTCTTACTTCTCTTAATATCATTCAGGAATTATGCTTCATTATAGGACACATCTTCCTGACCACAGTGTAATAATATTTTGATCAGTTCTTCAGCATGTCATCTACAAGCTCAAAGAAGTTTATCTGAGGATAGATAAGCTTTGAAACTAGGCGAGTTTAGTTGTACACTGCATTGGTCCTTATTTCACAGTAATTGGTGAGAAACTTATTTTGAGTGCTTCAACCAAACCAAGCATATAAGATTCCCTTCAAATCACTCAAAATCCAATGTACACCACAAAATGAAACCAAAAGCATATCGGAATCTAACTCCCATTTGTCTAGACATGTTAAATGGTCTCTCTGTATATCAATTCTATTAAAAACCCCTAGTTCTAGAAGTCATCTCGCATAATTACACAAGGATATAGCTGGTGGATCATCCATTTTTAATTTTTGAAAATAATTGAGCATCATCAACACAAATCATAAATAACAGGGCAAGTGGAGGGAAGGAAAAGATAAACACAACATATTCCAGGGGAGGGGGGAACAAAAAACACAGAGAGATAGAGGAGCATCTTGGAAACCAACCTTTGGTAGAGTAGGTCCTAATTTTCTCACAAGATTATCTATATGCCTTGAGCGATCCCCCTGTCAGAAAATTAAACGTGAATATTTTTGACAGATCTTTTCCTTTTTTTTCTTCCTTTTTTATAAAGCGTTTTTGCATTTGAGAATCAAGAAAGAAACTAATTTAAGCATCAAAATGATGTAATTGAAAGTTTTTTCAACCAAAATTAGCGGGGCTGGAAATTAAAGGTTTTTGTTCAATAGATATCATCATCTGAAAGAGCATATAGCCGAGAATTGTAATAGGAATGAAAACGCATGAAGAAGAACGGAATGAATGACAGTAAATGGAACGAACAATTAATGAAATGCTTACCGAAGGTGAAGGGTGTTGAAGAGCCATATTTCCTGCAAATAAAACCAAATGAGAAGTAAATGTAATTATCTTTTCATTGTGTTTTTTGGGTAAAATAGTTTATATGAGTCGAGTAGCATCGTAGATCTGGTTTCCATTTGCTAATAAGCAAACGAGCGAGCGCTAAAGTAGAAACATGGAGTAAGACAAGAAGCCAAGATTAAGCAAAAGGAAACACACACCCACACACACACACAAAGAGCGAATCCTCGATCTAGGACTCCAATTCTTCAAATGCCCTAATAGAAAACAGATCTAAGTGTAAGATTGATAAGAGTGGCAACCTGCAGAGTGAAAGCCATTGTGTAGGCCAAGCAAAAATCCAAGAGGAACAAGCATTGAGAGGACGACAAGGAAGAGGACAGCAATGGCCAGACCCCTCCATCGGCGCTTCTCGAGAGCAATTCCACCACCGCCAGTCCCACCTTTCATCTCCCCCTCCTACTCCACCTCCTTCTTTTGCCCTCACTTGGATCACACAGTTAATTATTTACAATAATCCACCACAAATGTGTGTAAATAATAATGCAGAGAGAAGCGGTAGAGCTCTTTTCGTTTGATTTTGCTTCTCCTCAAATCTCAAGTCTGAGGTTTTCCCGTATCTCTGGCGCTGCGTCTCATGTGCAATTGTACTGCATGAATAAAACCAAACCCTTTATTTTATTTTATTCGTAAAATATTAGGTTTTGAATTTTAAGTATTCAAATTATTTTTTAATATGAATCTTCAAAGGATTAACCACTTGATTGGTCACTTTTAATCGTTTGCTGTAAGGTCCTTGCCGTAATCATTTGCTGACTTGGCATTTAATTGTTGTTAACCCCCTTTCCCCTTCTTTTTCTTCATTTTTTTCTTCCACCTCCTGTTACCCCACATTCGGTTAGTGGTGGGTCACACCGTCATCACCATCGTCACCGACGTTGTCTCTCGATCATACCCCGACCCTCAAATTCATACTCACCATACACCGTTTGTCCCAAATCGTGAGAAAATTGTTCGAACATCTATCATCGATCTCTGTCATCAGTCATCGATGATCGTCACCGCCGATATTAGTAGGAACATCGCCCCATTCCGACCAAAACCTCGCTAGCCACTCGCCGAGACTCACCTCCATTCGCTGTGGAGAGAGCCCTAAATTTGGTCGAAAAAACCTCAAACCCCCTTTTCTATTTTAATCAATTTCCAACCGATACAGTTGTCCGTTCGTCACACTGCCACTACTCTTTCGAACAAAACCCAATCGACCGTGGCTCCTCGTTGTCTTCCCTCCTCCGTAGAGGCGAAGAAGAAGAAGATGGAGGAGAAGGAGAATGAGAAGGAGGTTAACGACAGTTAAGTGCCCACGTCAGCGAAACCTAAAGGGAGAGTATGGCAGGGACCTTACTGAAAATGATTAAAAGTTTGATGGTTGTATTTCAAGTTATAAAAGTTGGCTGACCAAAATGCAAATATCCTAAAAGTTTGGGGACTATTTATATATTTTACCTTAAATTTAAATGAAAAATAAATAGTAAACTTTTTATTAAATTTAATTATAACTAATTAATAAAATAAAAATTAAATCTCTAAGATTTATGTTTGAGTTTTATATTAAATGGATTATATAATTTAATATTTATAATAATTAATTTTAATTATATATATCTTAAAAATGTAATTAATTAATTCCGTTTTAAGATTAAACCCTAACACAGAGAATACCAAGTCAGGTAAATTTTTCTCATCGTCTTTTTCAATCTTCTAACATAAACTTTTATTAGAAAAACATTGTTTGCTCTCTATTTTTGTTGTGGTATAAAATCAAGATCAGCTAACATTATTATTCAATTTCTTTTTTTTATATTTTTGTTATACAAGTTGTTAGATACCATCTATGACAAATATTCAATGTTTTGATAAAAAGAAAAAAATAATTAAAAAATTTTAGAGAGTGAAATTTAAGCTCAATTTTTTATTGAAATTTAATTTACTGTGTGTTAGAATTGGATTGAAGTTCCATAATAATTTCTAAAAACTTTGATTTTGCATTAATTTTATAAATATTAAAAAATTATAAAATAATACTATAATTTACAAATATTGGAAAATTAATATTATAAACATAACAAAAAATTATAACATAATAATATTATAACAATTATATATTATATAAAAATAACAAATATATTATAAATAGAAAGACCTACAAATAAAAAATAATAATGTTAGAATTCAAGTTCAACTCACTTTTTTTTAAATCCAAAAAATCCATTTTTGAGCTTTTCTTGAGAAGAGCTGTAACGGATCAACACTAAAACTCTTCAATCCCTACAAGAGTACATTGCACAACATTTGAGTATCACCGGCCCAGACATTTCAATGTCTACTGGTAGCACTGGTAGTAGCAGTGAGTTTTTTAGAGTGAGATTTTGCTCTCCCTTCTCTCTAGGATTTCTTTCCGAGATGGGAAAATGGGTGGTTTCAAGGGTTTCTTCCATGATTATTCATGGACATTTGGTTGTCGAGATTCATTCTTGGATCTCAAATCGGTTTAATTTCTTTAAAGTCAGGGTATTGTTAAGTCAAAATTATGGTTCTGTAGAAGATGAAAGTTGTTCAAAAAGTAAGAAATGTTTTTGGTGTTCTTCTAAGTCCAAGCGGTGTGCTTGGTGTTCCTCAAAAATCAAAAGTCATTCTCGGTGTTCCTCTTATGCGGAGAATGTTGAAGGTAAAAGCTTTTATTGTTATCAGTGGATTTTTTTAATTGCGATTTATGTCTTGCAGGATCCTCTTAAAGGCTGTTGCAGAGGAAATGACATTGAGAGAGGGAAAGTATCTTATGGGAAAAACGGACAAGGGATGGTAGAGGTGGGGGGAGCTAAGGATGAAGGGCTTCATTGGAAGAAGGAATTGGGAGTTCTTAGGTATAAGATAAGGTTGGGATATGCGGTTGCAAAGGGAAAGTTAGGGTATGTTCTGGAGTCGGAAAAAGCAGGAAGAGGAGGCCAAGGGCAGGAAGAAGATGATCGGAGCTGGGTTTCAAAATGTGTTAAGGAAGAATTTGGATTAATTAAGGGGAGGTACAAGCTAATCGTTGCTCCAGGTCAGAATTACAATTGGAAGGAAAAGTGTATGAAATTTCAACAGAAATCCAAGTGTGATGTGATGTGGAGATGGAAACAGGAGATGGTGAATAGAGAAATACATCAACTATCAAAGGAAATCTGTGTTATGATTATTTTTAATGGGATTTATGGAAGGATTCGGAGATGGTCTTGGGATTTTGGAATACGGATAAATATTTGGAGAATTGTATATGAAGGTAGAAGGTGTCAGGTGAAAGAAATTCATTATAATTTATACCACTGTTTACAGCTTGTACAGCAGGAATTCCTATATCTTGACAGCATGGGGAAGGTCGTTGTAGACTACTGTTGCATACGGGTTAAGGGTGACAAGGGCAGAGCCCAACCTCGGGGAGGGGAATTAAGGTTCAGACAGGAAGTTCAGGTTGACAGACCCAGCAAACCGGGTAACCAACGTATGGACATGCACTGCTTTTACTGTAAGAGTAGGTTCTGTTTTTACTGTTCAAACAGGATTTGCGGCTGGAAAATCTGGGGGATTTTGAGCAGAGTTGGTATGCTGGAATTTTTTAAGTATTATTTTATGGAAAGAAGCCTCAAGAAATATCTTATATTTCTGATTTGTTTAAGATTTGATAGAGGAAGTTGGTGGGCAAAGTCAGATCAACAATTAATGGGTCAGTTTTTCAAGTTTGCTAGTGGGAGATGGAGAAAGAGACTAAGGAGTAAGACAGATATTTGTTATTATTACCTTTCCAAAAAGAAGCAGACGTGTACTGTTAGTATTTTTCTCTTGCAAGTTGTTCAATTGGGGGTTAAAGAAGAGTGCAAAAGAGGAGTGTTCTTGGTTTTATTGATAGGTTTTGCTTCGGGTATCATGTCTGAAGAGGTGGCACATCTAATGGAGCAGCTGAAATTTACAGAGGAGGAATCAGAGGATATCTCCCCCCCAAGGGTTATTTCCGAAGATGATCTAGTGGAGATGGACAAATGGATTGTTGCTAAGATTATTGGTTACAAACGTGTTGAGAGTGAGGCGGTTCTAAGAGTCTTCCGGTCAATTTGGGGGCATGCTAGGATATCGGAATCTAGCATTCTTAAAGATCAAATGTTCATGTTCAAATTTAAAACACTTGCGGATAAACAAGCTATTTTGAAGCGTACTCCTTGGAGTTTTGAAGGAACACTGTTGGCTTTAGCGCACTTCGACCCTACGTTAAATCTTGAGGAATTTGATTTTAGTCCTTTGGGGGTGTGGATGAGGATTTATGAACTCCCGATGGGGCTGATGCGTATTGAGACAACGGAAAAGATTGGCAACAGAGTGGGGAAAACCATCGCTACAGATACTAGGCCGGGAGAGGGACGGATGGGTGAATATTTGCGGGTGAGGGTGGAAATCGACTGCACCAAACCTTTGATGAGGTGTGCTAAGATGGGGGTGAATGCAAATGGTCAACCGAGAAAGTGTCTTCTCAAGTATGAAAGATTGCCCTCCTTTTGTCACCATTGTGGGTTAATCGATCATGTACTGACGGAATGCATAGGATTTTCGGAGCATGTACAACAACCACTTCAGTTAGGAGAATGGCTTAGAGTGACAAGCATGAAGAGGATCGAAGAGAGTAACAGCAGAAGAAGGGATGGGATAGTTTATGCGGATGGAATGAACAATAGCCGGTCGTTGTCAAGTCCGGTGAATAGCTCACTTGCTGAAAGAACTGTTCGAGCACCTCGTGGAAGACCTTGGATGTTGGGAAGAGACATGCTGCTCTCGTCAAATTCCAACCAAGGAGATGGTGTTGATTCATCGGACCACTCTGGTTCTGATAACTCACTTCCCCATATATTCCCGGAGGTTTTTGTGGTTTGTGAGCGTACGGCTATGGAAGGAAAGCAGCCTGAGCGTGACCCGAGTGTCAGAGCATAAATCGGTTCTTCAAGTACGGGAAAAAGGAAGAGCGGGGAATCGAACAAAGCAAAGAGGAAGGCTAAACGCATAAACAGGCAGTCGGTGCACATTTCAGACTCTACGTTGAATTCCAAGGTTGGTACGAGTGAGGAAGAGGATCCTAGAGAGATTCCAGAGGAGAATTCGGAGGACATTATTGCATTGGCGGAGGCTGAGGCTCAGCCCCGCCGGTCGCAGTGACGATCTTGTGTTGGAACTGTCGAGGGCTTGGGAACCCTGCGACAGTTCGTGAGCTTAGGAGAATGATCTCCAGTAAGGACCCGATGTTGGTGTTTGTTTCAGAAACTAAACTACGGAAAAATAAGACGGAAGCTATTAGATTGGCAACTAAGATGTATGGATGTTTTGAGGTCGAAAGAGCCGAGGGATGTGTGGGTTTAATGATGTTGTGGAATGAACGTATTGATGTTGTTTTGCTGAGTTATTCCAATTTGCATATTGATGTGGAAGTGTCAGGGAT